TCAAGATGGAGATATACAGTAAATCGAAGATAACGAAAGTTTAACACCACACTTCTTGTGGCTCCAAACCCTATGAAATGCTGAAGTGATTGCCTCATTCATCCCTTTCCAATTGTTCTCTACGGTAGTTTCCTCTCCAATGAGTAGATCATGAAAGGCCTAGATCCTATTGCTGAGGTTTATTTTGAATTTGTTGAGTTTACCAGTATCCTATTTTTGGTTATCACGTCCTCCATGGTCCTTCTGAACTCTTAATTAATGCTATTTCGGTCAATTTGAATTATTTAAGAGGCTAACATTAAAGGGAGTAAAATCAATATGCACGTAGGCGGTAAGCAATACTGAAGAAGCCTAAATGCTCATACATGCACAATAATAATAATAATAATAATAATAATAATAATACTAAAAGTACAATGGTACAAATACTTAAATTGCTATACAAATGACTCTGTCTGCTAAATAAACTGATAAACATACTTGACCAAAATAAAATGTAAACAAACTCAAATGTATGTGACGTGCTACAAAATTTAACACTGGAGTTCATTTATACAGTACAGTCTTTACATACAAAATGCTGCTTTTTTATTTATTTTTCTAAATTTCTAGACTAATAATTTTAAATACATCTTGTATTAGATAAAGGTAACTATTGTCTTCTACAACAAACAAATAGTATGTAGTTTATCAGCTTAAACTGATCAATTTCATAAGATCAGTTAAGTAACAAACAGACTTAGCTACCACAAAAATAAGCAAAATTCATTTGTTTTTTTAGCATTGCCTCACTATTGGTGGAGAGTTAGTTGTATTTGATAAGAAAATAAATTCCATTTCTTCACTACTAACTTTAAATCAATTAAAACACAGTACTATAATATATATATATATATATATATATATATATATATATATATATATATATGGCTGCTATTAATAAACGAATCAGATAAACAACTTCATTAGTTCAAAACAAGTATGACCTAATGTGACCGTGGTATTTTTTAATTTCATCATTCTTAGTCGATTTAATCTATCTATTAATTAAACTTTGTAATTTTGAATGGGTACTTCTGTAGTTGAGTGCTTTTATGTCTGTCTAGATTAGCTTACACGTCTTGCCCTATTTGTCTTTTGACCTTGTCAATCATTCGCTGAAATGTGCGTTGCTTTTATTCGTATGTATATGCACACCTATCTCGTTTATTATTACATGTCTGGCTGATTTTTGTCGACTTGAAATTCTTAGTCATTCTTAATCGAATGGAGTTGGCTCCCTCCTCGCCTTCTCCACTTCACTTCAATTCACTTCACTTCGCTTCGCTTGGCTTGTATGCTTTTCGTTTTTCATGTCTGCATGAACGACGATTGTCTGACATAAACTTATCCAACCGAATACGTTTTTGGCTTTTTATTACCGCTGTTGCATAAACGGGTTTCACCTAAGTATAATATAATACGGAAACTGATGGGGAGATTTATTTCATAGCATATTTAAATATGTTCATCAATATTGGGTCGCGGGTCACTAAACTTCGTGAATTTGATCAAGTTAGACATTAACACCGTTAGGTACCGGCTCAGTGGTCTATCGGTTAGGGCGCTCGCGCACAGTATCGAATCCTGCGGGGTGCAGGAGTCGTGGATGCGCACTGCTGAGGAGTCCCATACCAGGACGAAACGGCCGTCCAGTGCTTCCAGGTTTCTAATGGTGGTCTAACATTGATCGGTTCATGGTTTCAAAAATGTGTATTTAATATCTATTGGTTGGATTTAAAAGAAATGAAATTCTACATACTTATCATTTCAAATAATGTCTAGTAGTTTTTTACATGATAATTTTAAATGTTTAGAGTGTGTTATCAATGAAAAGAGTTACATGATTTGTCGCTGGTACCTTGTGAATGAAGTTACTCTTGTCCTGTAAGCTGGCTGTCACATGTTGTTTATGTTTATAATAAATGATTTTCTTAGAAGTGGAATGATAATTCTTTTGTTCAGACATACATACTTGATGGTCATTGCTCAACACATTAAACTTGTAGTGTGTGTACTTTTATGTGGAGCCCATGGTGCTTAACTCAAACTTTGGACAATGTAATCAATCCATTCTTCCAGAGTTATCATTCACTGGTCGCTTGACTTTATCAACTATTGGCTTCTATTTTGATTTTTTTTTCTATGCAAGTATATTTGTGCATTGCTTATTTGGCTTATGACATGTCTGGCTCATTTATATCTGACTATAAATACTGAGTCATGATGCTTCATCGCAAGGAGTTTGCTCACTTGACTTCTCCACTTCGTTTCGCTTTGCTTTAATGCTTTGTATTGTCAAGTCTATCTGCATGAATGATTTTTTTGAAATAAACTCATCCAACCGAATAAGTATTTGGCTTCCAGAGACCTCTGCCGCTATGTCTCAGTTCTCACGTCTGTAACATATTGTCGATGACTGTCTTCAGAGTTATGGCCGGCAATCACAGCTGTCATTAATAACCTCCGTATCCTTTTCTTTGACAAGTGTCCTCAAACATACAGGGTGACTAGCACTATCTCGCCTGTTTTGCGGTACTAACATATAGTACGTCGATCGATATTTGGTGAACGGTGTGAGCAGCTTCTGAACGTTTATCTGAAATGAGGTACATTTTGTACTCAGAGATGGGCATTCTGGTTGGCAAGGATGTTGACAGTCTTACTCAACTCAATCATTTCATCAGCCAAGTCCGTATGCATGTGTGCTACTGAGTGTATTTTAGTTCGTTCGTTTATTTTATCAGTTATGATTACTAGTTAATCAAAATCGACATAGTCGTCTCTAATCCCTAATAGTTATTGAATGCTTTGAGGAAGATGTCTAAGCCAAAACTGATATAACGGGCGTTTATATAAACAAGATGATTGATTACCCAGTATATTTCTTCTGTTCGATTTCAACTGTGACAATATGCTGTCAGCTTACTGTACATAATATCATAGTTGGACGATTCTCTGTTGGTCGGTCAGAGAGATGTGACGCGAATGACCTTTCTTTTTAAGCTATGGTATAGTGTATTTGGATCTGGTATGAAAATGGAGTTATTTACGTGTTCTACTACTACATCATCTGACGAAGAGTGTTTATAAATAAATAACGCGGTATAACTGGGGATTCTATGAGTAACAAAAAAGCTTTCTAGTCATTCAAACCAGAGTTTAGCAGATAAAGGTACACAGAGATAGAACTCACGAAAGCCGACTTAGGTAGGGAGGGGGAGGGGTTACGGAATTGTTGAGTGACATGGTACGATGGAAAAAGTATGATTGTAATGATAAAGCAAGAGCGAGAAATCACTATAAATTAAAAATGAATGATCCGTAGGAATATGTTTGTGAACACTCACCAAAAAACTGGCACTTTGAATTTTTAGGTAGGAAAAGATGGTGGAATAATTCCACGTCTACAATGCTATATGATAGTGTTTATCAGAGAAATATCTGAAGATTTTATACGGGATTCAACTTGGGGTCTCATTGATATAACGTTAGTATATTTGGGTCTAAAGTTATTAAAGCTATCCGATTTTTACCTGATGTTCAACATTAATTTTTTTCTGACACTGATTAAACGATTAAGCATGTTCATAAATTCTATTTCGAAAAAATCTTGGATCATTTCGATCATAAAGTGTAGAAAGAGAATAATATCAAGAATGAAATGACTAGACTAGTATCACTTCATTGAAAATTTAGCTTAGTTATGTCTTATCTAAACAATGGTGTGTGGGTGGGTTGTATTACATTAACCAATTGTGTAGGAACTTGAGTGCTGTAACGCCCAACAGTTGATGTATTTTGCGTATAAAAATCTATACTACTTATTAGTAAACAAGATTTTGCAAGGTAAATAATTTAAAGATCAAAAAGGCATAGCATAAAATTCTGATGTAGTAGTAGTAATTGCACATATTTATACAATTAATAAATACGTACATGAATTCAAATAAGGAAAGGAAGTATGTTTTTGTGTTGTTTGGTTTTTTTTCCTTCAATATATAAAATGTATACATGTGAACACATGAAGATTCATATAATCTGACTGTAATAATTAATTACCAGTTCCTTATTGAAAATTGTCTTGAATACATATGATTGGTTGAAATAATAATAATTTTCTTTTATTGAAAAAATTTCAGAAAACATGAATATGAACACCAACAAGTAAATAATAGCATATTCATTCATTGCACAACATTAAAACCATTAAAATTTTTGTAAAATAAATAAGAGACAAAAACAAAAAAAATAAAAGATGATAAACAATAATTAAAAAGCAAACAATGAAGATTCTTTGTTTATTTTTTTAATAGAAAAAAAAGAAATCTAATTTAATTTAAAAAAGAAACACAGAAACACAACAAATTGACAATTATTATTATTACACTTGATTGATTCAAAAGGTGTTAGCTAGGCAAAGAAATTCACATAAATCTCGTCTTTCAAGAGATTGAATAATAAATACGTAAGGATATCAAAATTGTTTGTTTGTTGTGAATAAGAAATAAATTTGTTAACTTGAAAATATTACCAGTTATACTGATGAATGAACGTGTTTGAGAAACAAAGAGTACTTCAGTGAATGGGTGGGGTGGCGCATAACATTGTTGGGACATCATATCTTACAACATTATGTTTTGAATACACAGTATGATCAATTATCATACATATACTCTTATGCATATCCATTTATATATATATATATATATATATATATATACCATAAGGAAAGGGAAATTCTGACAGATAGATATTCAATGATGAATGAATATATAGGTAAAGATTTCAGTTTTTTTAGTTAAACTGAAATGAATTTTTATCAGAAATAAAAACGAAATAAATAGGTTAAAAAAAAGAAAGAACGTTAAGAGAAAGTAAATTCAAAGTGTATGTATGCATTCATTCACTGATTTAATAAAATCAAATCAGTAAGCTAAAACACAAAAATCATGAAGATCAAGCAATACATTCAATACTACTTAGTATTATTAGTAATATATATATTTATTGTAAGTAGTAAATAAATTCATTTGTAAATTATTAATTAATTTTTTTTTTTAAAACGGAAATATTTTCATAAATATTAGTAGAATATATATATATGTTTTATTTAAATGATTTTTTTCAATTTTTTTTATTTTTCTCTAATTATTATTTAAAATTAACTCTTTAAATGAGGATAAATAGTTCGAATATAATTCACAATAGATTCAGCTGAATGAACTGGATCACATTCAGAGAATATATGACATGTACATTCACTTATGCCCTTGCGAACAACTAATCCAAAGATTCTATTAATGTAGAAAGAAAGAAAAGGGATTAAAAAAGATTATTATTATTATTATTATTATTATTATTATTATTATTGTGATGATGATAAGTTGTTGATAATTTTTATTATTAATAATCATTATACTGTACTGTACTGTAACTCGACCGTATCTGCTACCTTGACGTGGTGGTCGGGCTTGCCCATCGTGATGACCCAACCGAGCTATATTGGCTGGAACATATGTTCCTGAAGGTTCTACGACCATGCCAGGCAGGTCGATTGGAGAACGATGAGACTAAAAGCAGCTACTCAAGGTCTGAGGGCGAAGTCGTACTGCTGACTACTGCAAAGGGGTGTGACAGCAGTAAGGTGTTTCCCTCGGACAACCAACATCTGCAGCGATACTGCCTTCTCACAAGGAAGGAAGGGTTAGAAAAGGTCGACCCTGAAAATGTCACACCTCCCCTACCTCACGGATTTCCGTCTCCTTGGGTAAGGGTGCCCACTAAGGGCCTTTAAGAACGGAGCTAATCCTCAAAATACCTTTCATAAAAAGGCCGTGTGTGACCGGCCTCAAGCAGTTGTCCCTTGTACTCTGCGGTCACGCTCCCAGGTCTCCAAGACCAACACTAATCTATCTTCCTTTTCAGGTTCCTCAAGAAACAACCTTCCACGGTGTGGGCAGGCGTGCTGTACTGTACTGTACAATATTTTAGATTGTTCAATTAGACTATGTCTTCTTCTCATTACACCATTATTATCGTCTTCAAGACAATTTATCGATTGTATTTATGTTAATTTCTTTTATTTTCTTGTTTGTTGAGAAACAGAAACCAACAAACAAACGAAACACAAAAACGGATGATTTATTGATCGATCTATTATCAGTAGTGTTATTTATTATGTAAATGAACAAGTGGATCTAACTGAGTCAGCAGTATATGATGCTTAAAGAATACAAATGCATTCAAGTCAAAAAAAATTATAAATAATAAATACTTCATCTAAATCATGTGTAATGATGACCTAACTAATTACAAATCACGCGATCAATAAAAATTGCATGTACATATGATATAACTAGCTAATCAATAGTGTCAAGAAATTTAATTAATCTTTTGAAAGAAGACCAATAACTTTTTTTAAAATTACGCGGTAGTAAATAATTATTTATATGTTTTTTAAAAAAAATAATCGAAATCTCTGCTTCATGAAATTTTTGGTTTTTTTGTATTTGACCTTTTGATTATTGAAATATCTATGATATGTGATGAACTAGTATAATAATATAGTTAGTTAGTCTATTTTCTATACATTGAGTCAGTCAGTCAGTCAGTCAGATGCAACGTAGAACTTCGTACGTAAGTACATCAGTTCATGTTGCCATACAACATCAGCACAAAGATGTAATTGTCAATTCAAATCCAATAGTAGAAGAGGTAGTAAAGGTATTAGAAGTAATCGGAGAGGTTAGGATGAGAAGATATTATTCAAGAAGTATGATTCAGTGAGAAAAGTTTAGAAAGTCAAAACTAGAGGTGTTGAAGAATCCAGAAGATTAGGATTTGAGGGAACGCAAAGAATAAATGCACCGGCGCCATTGCGAACGATTTTGAGCCATGTCATTCAGAGTATCTAACCATCGATAATTATCATCTCGCGGACCCCAACCAGGTAATCGACAATTACAGACATGGTTAAGTCCACTCGTCAATGACTTCATGGATTTCTGCCATGTTTTGGTTTGGCCGCACCTAGCTTTCTTCCAAACTACTCCTTCACTACAAAACAAAGCTGTTCGAGGCAGTCGGTTATTTCTAGGAGCATGTCAATGATAAAGTTAATCAAGAATGGGGAAAGTGGACATCCCTGACAGACACCACTTAAAGTAAAGAATTCCGTTGACAGTACGCCATAAGCTCTCACCCGACCAGTGGTGTTCGAGTAGAGAGCTTGTATAAGGTTAACGTACTTCTTTGGTTTCTATACATTGAAATCATGAATGGATCAGTGTTAGACCACCATTAGAAATGTGGAAGCACTGGACGGCCAATTCGTCTTGGTATGGATGGGACTCTACTCGTCAGCAATGAACATCCACGACTCCTGCACCTCGTATAGGATTCGAACCCAGGGCTTTAGGTCTTGCGCCCGAACGTCCAACCAACACTGATTGTTGATTGATGATTTCAATGTGTACGTACAAACATCAATCTTCATAACCTAGAATTGAAACTACCTACTTTTTTATGTTCAAATAATCAGACACATTCAGGCACACACACACAGACACACACAGAAATTTGTGCATAAAAAGCAGTCAACTTACTTAGGATGGCGTATACCATGATTTAAATGTTCAGGATGAATAAATCTAAAATTGGTTTTTACAAAGAATAAAACTTTAATTTGTACAGAAAGAAAATATGCATATAATAATAACAATAATATTATTTTCACAAAGCAGCAATTTAAAAAAAGTAAATACGATTTTATATTAGTTTCGGATGTTTTTTGAATTGTTTTCAGCATTTGGCTTTTTATTACCGCTTTGGGGATGGAGATTTGCGGAGGCCGTGGTGGGGCTGGTGGGTGTGAAGGGGCCCGGGGCGGAGTTGCTGGTGCTGGGGACGCTGCGGGGAGGTGAGGCGAAGGCTGTGTACGACAGCTTGGACGGTGCCGCCGGAAAGACGGCGTGGGAGACGGTCACCGGGCGGCTGATGACGGAGTTCGACAGCCCAGTGGTCAGGGAGAAGGCGCTGCAAGAGTTCCGGTTGGCGAGGCTGTCGGCTGATGGTGACCCGCGGGTGCTTGCTGTGGAGCTCACGATGTTGCTGCGCCTTAAGCTTCCGAGTATGGATGGGGAGTCGGGGGCAGAGTTGTTGGCGTCGCAATTTATCGAGAGTGTGCCTGCCGCCGTGTCCTAGCAGCGGGAACTAGTAAAGGCTACACGTTGGATAGATGCCCTACACATTCCAGACCAGCCCGCAAGAACAATGATCGAAGTGTTAATCCAGCATATTGTAGCGTGTCACGGAATACGGAAGGTGATATTAACTGACCAGGGTCCCTGTTTTGAAAGTGACGACAGCTTATTAATTGGGGGACGAGTGTGGTGCGAGCTACATATAAGTAGTATATGACGTGAGTGTCAACGTAATGTCTGGCAGCAGAAGATGGGGCAAGATCAAGAAAGGAAGAGTTAGAACACAATGGAATTTGTATGAAACGCATGAATAGTGACAATGGATTGATGTTTTGCAACAGGAACAGTCAAGTTCGATATGATGGACTGATATTTTGCAAATTAACGACTTACGATATGGTTTTCCAATTTTACTGAGTAACTCTGTAATTTTTGTTAAATACAATTCGGTTGCCCCACCTGTGTTCTCGTTCACTACACCGCCGTTGCACACACAGGTTTCACTTATGTATAATAATATACGGAAACTGATGGGGAGATTTATTTCATAGCATATCTAAATGTTCATCAGTATTGGGTCGCGAACCACTAAACTTCTTTCTATTTATAATAACTGTTGGTTGGATTTAAAGGAAATGAAATTCTAAATATTTATTCATTTCAAATAATGTCTAGTAGTTTTTTACATGATAATTTTAAATGCTTAGAGTGTGTTATCGATATTCGTTATAATGAAAAGAGTTACATGATTTATCGCTGTGATACCATGTGAATGAAGTTACTCTTGTCCTGTAGGATGTCGTCACATCCTATAATAAATGATTTTCTTAGAAGTGAAATGATAATTCTTTTATTCAGACATACATACTGAATGGTCATTGCTTAGCACATTAAACTTGTAGTGTGTGTGTACTTTTATGTCCGTCCAGCCCATGGGGCTTGTCTTAAACTTTGGACAACCATACATAAGTAATGAACATTGCGTAAGATGATATATTTTCATGTAATGATTAAAAATTGAAGAAGAAAGTTTGACTAATAATTTTTTTTTTCAATTTGTAAAATATTAAATAAGTTCTGTTGAGAATAAGAACAAAGTGTTATGAAGCATTCGAAACTTTTCAAAATTTTCTACTCAGTGGATTACTACAATTTGTTTATAAAACACACACATAACTTTTGGTAGCGTCTTTGATCTCTAAGGTGGAGGGTCTGAAGTAGATGCCAAGGTGCGGATTGACAAGACAAGAGCAACATTTCTACTACTGAGCAACATCCACAACTCAAAACACATCTCAACCAACAGCAGTGAGGTCAAGATTTTCAATACAGATGTCAAGACAGTTCTCCTGTATGAAGTGGGGGGAACTTGGAGAACCATGAAAGCCATCATCCACAATATTAACAGTTGTTTACTCAAAATACTTCGAATCCATTGTTTAGATACTATTAGCAGCAACTTACTGTGTGAAAGAGAATAAACTAGACTCCAATCAGAGGAAGAAGAGCTGTAGATGGGTAGGACACACACTGAGCAAAGCCCTCCTGACTTAGTATCCTCAAGGCTAAAGAACACATTCTGCCGAAAATTGAAGCAGATATGAGAAAAATGAACAAAAATTGGACAGAACTGGAGAGAGTAAGGCCCAGTTATAGAGTAGGTTGGAGAATACTTATCGGTGACCTACACTCCATTATAGGTAATCAAACACGCAAGGAAGCAGCAGGTGAGTAAGCTGATGAATAATAACTTTGATCAGTTACGCTCACTTTTTGTTGTTGTTGCTGCTGTTGCTATAATTACTGTTGATCAGATACGTACTCTTTAATAGCATTCATTAGTTAGTTGTAAAAACAATTTCCAGCGTAGTACAATCGTAATTGATTCAACGCCATAGTTAATTGTATTAGAATTTTAATAAAAATGAACAAAATGACTTAAATTTTCCTATCTCGTTCAATTTAATTATCTTATTATTATTTTTCGTTTGTATTTCGATTACCTACCGACAATTTATTATCAAAATGTAATCATTAGAAAATTGGTACAAATCTTTTGTAATAATTAAAATCATTTTGTATTATCATGATTACTTTTGTTAATGAAATGAAATTACGTCATATATATATATATATATATATATATATATATATATATATATATTTATATATATATATATATATGGTCATCTCATTAGTAGAAAGAAATCTTTATAGTTTTAACGAAACGATGTTTATTACTTCAGTTTACATTCAGTTTGTCAGCTATTATTATTATATAACATAACGTAGTAATTAGGTATTCATAACAAAATTTATCTGCTTAGCATAGATTGTTGTATCAACCCAACTTTAAGTCATATTCGCTTTTGTATATGTGACGCAGAGAGAGAGAGAGAGATTGTAAAATGTAAGCGGAGAGAATCAAAAACGGAATCAGTTGATGCGTAGTTTGAATGTGTATCCGATTCATTGAAAGTAGAATGATTTCCACATGGGATTTCAAGTTCAACTAGCCGGTAGTATAATTTAACTTTCGTATAAACACTATTATAGCTTAAAGTCAACTATCCGAGTTTGAATTTAGTAGCTGTGTGGTGCGCGCTACTTATAAGTAGTATATGACGTGAGTGTAAACGTAATGTCTGGCAGCAGAAGATGAGGGAAGATCAAGAAGAAAGGAAGAGTGGGAAAACAATGGAATTTGTATGAAACGCATGAATAATGAAATGTCAGACAATGGATTGATGATGGATTGCAGATTTTCAAATTAACCGTTTACGATATGGTTTTCCTATTTTACTGAGTAACTCTGTGATATTCGTTAAATACAATTCGGTTGCCCTCACCTGTGCTCTCCTTCACTACAGCTGAATACTCTGATTATAATAAGGCATACAGCCATTTTACTTTTTCTACAAAATAATAATATTTTTCTATTCTGTGTGTTAATTATGTGACTTGATTTTCTGTGTATATCATCGGGTAATCATCAGTTCTATTGTTCACATACACATTTTATTAAATCAGGAAATAATTTTTTTTATACAGAGAAAACAAAAAACTTACTCTTTTTTTCTAGTTTCTACACCACAATACAATAGGACATTGTTAGGAAGATGACGTCGAAGGAATAAACGTCTTAATAAATCTATAATTGTAATACCATCATGTGCGCTAACATGCAATTGAATATCGGAATATCGAACACGACTAATACCATGATCACATTCAGATGCAGTTAAAGTTTCCAATGGAATTAATTGATCCACTGCTTTGGAAAAACATAGTTCACTATTCCATTGTGGAGTATCCACCGATCCTAGCATGAAGCATCGGTAGGCTAAGGGAGATACGTTGAGGATTAAAAAAATATTGATTTATTTTGATTATTAGACAGTGAAACAATGTAATTGTAATTACTGAGTACACTATAAGGTGCTACTATCTTTAAGTAATATATATAGTAAGCACTGGAATATGAAAGCGATCAAGCTGAGACACAGTAAATAAATATATTGTTAAAACGGACGACAACATAGTTAGTTATCAATCAAACTGAGGATGGATTCCAATGTCACTTAATTACGAACTAAAACTATACAAGAAGAATTAAACCAATTCTTCAATAAATAAACACCGTCCAAATAGTGTGTAGTTTAACAGATTCATTCCCATTACACGTTGGATTGAAAGTGACAAGATACCTTTTATTATGGACTGTTATCTGTAGGGTTCGTCACTAGGTACGCTTGAAGCTATTACGAGTTCACCTTAGTCGATAAACGCGAACGAGACAATTACTAGCGTCCAGGTAGGCTACCTTGAATCCCAAGCTGAAGATAAAAGGCTTTGTAAGCGTAGAAATTATACTCTACAACACCCAGCAATCACAGTACAATCAAGCACACAACTCTCGTTTATTTATACATCATAGAAACGTCCTTGGGACAGTTACGAAAATAGCACACTAAAATACACAGCAGCCAATCAAAGCCATGGATTTTCCTGGTGGGAAATGAAATTTCAAGGTCAGCTGATCAGCCCATGCTGACAAACGTGAAATCCAAAACAAGGCATTTAACAAGCGAGTTTTAGGGATCTAACATCCCCAACATAATCAAACTTCTATAGCACATCAAAGAACTGCACATCTTGAAATGTGTAATACTTAGATTGGTCTAAATTTATCATGGTATAAATTAATTTACCAATTTTATTATTTGATATTTCACATTGGACTTAAAAATTCATTATTATTTGTGTTATCGAAGTGTCAAATGACAGAAATAATAAAATTCTGTAGATAATGATTTGTATTTTTCTATGTGACAGACAGTCTAGGCTGATTGATTCTGTCATTGATTTCAGAGAAATTTTGTAGGTTAGAGAAAAGTGAAAACTATGATAGATTTGAAATCTTGAGTTTTGATTTACTGATTTGTATTTTATTTGTACTAGTTAGTTGACTGCTCACTCACAGGCTAATAACTCGATAATTATCGTTTTATACCATTCATTAGTCAATATTTATGAACGGCTAGGTTGTTTAATTCAGCTAAGAGAATAAAACACTGTTGTAATCCTTAAATCGTATGATTCAACATATTTTACATGTGAGAAACATATATTGTGGTGCGCGCTACTTATGAGTAGTATATGACGCGAGTGAAGACGTAATGTCTGGCAGCAGAAGATGGGGGAAGATCAAGAAAGGAAGAGTGGGAACACAATGGAATTTGTATGAAACGCATGAATAGTAAAATGTCAGACAATGGATTGATGATGGATTGAAGATTTGCAAATTAACCGTTTACGATATGGTTTTCCTATTTTACTGAGTAACTCTGTAATTTTCGGTAAATACGATTCGGTTGCCCCACTTGTGTTCTCCTTCACTACCATATTAGTAGTGTCATTCTTTTACAGTTGATCTAATTCAATACTTCAAATTGAATTGAATGGCGCTTTTAAAGTTATTCAACTTATTTCATCAAAATTTATCTCATAGTCTACGGCTTCATTTTTTGTACATCAATTAAATCGAATCTAAAATTGCAATTATCCATTATCAAGAAGACAAAGTAACATTAATCGATAAAAAGCTTTTGGGACAGGGTAGAAAAAAAAACTAAAGATTGATAATGATTATCAAATCACTGTGGTAAGGAAAGGCTAATAACTCTCCTTTTGTAATACACAAATCAGGTAGTAATGTTTGATAACAACTGCCTCTGTAAAACGATGAAAGATGGGTTTCGTTTCTGTTAGTTGTTTTGAATGCACTACATACGTTCATATCATGTAGACTATCCCAAAGGTGTTTGTTAATTGTGAAGACTTGTGAAGACTTTACTCTCTTTCAGCCATATTTTACTAGGAATGTGTTCAGAAAATTTGGTAATAATGGCCTTTCTTTCTGTCCTTCCTACGTACTTGCTACCAGAGGTACATGTAAATTCATAGAGTTTGAAAGAGTATTGAATTACTTTTGACGTTTATGAGGAAGAATACTGCTGTTCAAATCGTTCAACTAACATGTATGGGTTTTTAAATTGAAAATAAATGAACATCTGTAAGCGAGTTTTAACCAAACAAGCAAAAATCGCGTAACTACAGTACGAATTATTTCAAGTTTTTAAGAATGGAAATTAATCTCAACTCAACTTGAAGTGGTTTGGACTATCCCATTGTCAATGTTTTAACTGAAATTTGATCATTCTTGGTGGGCATATGGGCATCCTAAACAAATTGACCCAATATGGTCATTGAAACACAAGTTTATTTCGAGTAGATAGAATGTGGCTGACATTTCAAAATGAATTTAATCTCATACCCATTGTAATAGTAGATGGCTTTTCGGATAACCAGATGGCATTTGAAGCAGACGGCATTGGGTTCGAGTCCCGGAGTGAACGTTTAGCATCCTGAATTCCACTTCTAGCCATTAATCTATCTGTTCTATGTAAATAGGTCTTATAATATCAAATAGAGATTCAGACTAAACTAGATAATTGTGGTAGTGTTTCGTTCTCTGAACTGGTTGTTTTGGTTGTGGAGCTTTCATTGTTCTTACACTGAACAACATCATCAGCACAAACTTCTATCTGAGCTACAAGCTTTCTCCATCATCTTAAACTAGATAAAGATTTTTAAATATGTAGAAAAAATGTAAATGTGCATATTCTTTAACCGACCGGTGGTCTACAATCAATCATCCTATCCAAAAAGTCAATCATTAGTTGGCCAGCGCTATTCAAATGCAAATAACTACTGAATTGCCTTTATGAAACAGTTCTTTTAAATCATTTCAGTCTAATTTAACAAAATATAATAATAATAATAATAATAATGAATGCGAAAAAACTTACTCATGCCTTGATTCAATAAACTTTGTGGCATCATTGGTTTATGATGTTCATCTTTAATGACACATTCAAATGGTAGACCTTCAACTAAACCAATTGTTGATGTATTAGTCATTGATTTGGCACAATCAATTTCTGTATTATTCTCCATTATAACAGAGCCTAATTCAGAAACTGGTCCAGTTGCATTGTCGATTTTAGCAATATATTCATTAGTAGTAGTAGTAGTAGTATTTGTCTGTGAAATATGATTACTCATTGGAGAATCTGTCATAGTTGATGGTAAACCTGTGACAATTTGCGGTGGAGGTCTATAACCATGTGGTAATGGTGTAGTTGGAATGGATGGAAGTATTAAACGACATGGTAATGCTAAAGCATCTTGTGTATGTCGATTAATAAGAGCAGCTAAACTAGGAAATACTGGTTCACTTGCAAAACCTTTAAGTCGTACACCTTTAGTCGGTGTATTCACTGCTTCAATTAAATAATGTCGTACTAATTCTGATTGAAGATCATCTAATAAGCCAAAAGAAATTATTCAAATAGAAAGAGAAGAGAGAGAAAAAAAATTGAATTAAAATCAAAAATGTATGATAGTGGATGAAATCTAATTAACATAAAGAACTATATTGTTAAAATACATTTCCCAGTGGTTGGTTGATATGGCTAACAGTTACATTATTCATTATTGTCTTATCCAAAGAAAATCTTTTATAAATAACCAGAAAAATCAGACAATGATTGAGAGGACATTTTTAAACAGTTACTAAACAGTTGATTTCATCATGGAATACTATTTCAGCATTGATAACTTGTATCATAAAGAAATGTTTCATAAAATATCATAATTGTTGATGTTCTCTAATCAGCTTTGTATTAACTTTATAAGAAAATAAGAAGTATTCATTACTACTGATTGATTCAGTTAGGTAATACACAAGTTTTGCTTGTAGAAGAATTCCGCCGTATGATAGTGACATCTATGCATATTAGAGCATGTTAAATAAACTAAGGAAGATAGTAAATGACTTGTGGAGTTGGAAGTATTTACAGTCCTAACCTTATAAAACAACAAGTTTTAATTGTGGTTCCATTTTTTCATGTATACGCATTTGTACTGTACCAACAGAATTCACACTATAGCATAGAAAGAAGATAAAGTTATTGAAATGCTTGTGCTAACAGACTCTATCTTAAGAACTTTCCTTATATCTACTTGCGGTGTACAGTCAGTCAGTCAGTCAGTTGCAACGTAGGACTTCGTACGTATGTACATAAGTTCATGTTGTCACACCACATTAGCACAGAGACGCAAATGTCAAATCAAATCCCATAGTGATAAAGATAGTAGAGGTATTAATGGTAATGAAGAAGACTAGGGTTTGAAGACAATATTATTCAAGAAGTATGATTCAGTTAGAAAGACAAAGATAGAGGTGCTGACGAATCCAGAAGATTAGGATTAGAGAGAGTTCAAAGAATGGATGCACTTGCGCCATTGAAAACGATTTTGAGCCATGTCATTCAAGGTCTCTAACCATTGGTGACTTTCGCCTCGCGGACCCCAACCAAGTAGTCTACATCTACCAACATGACTCAGTCCACTTGTCAGTGACTTCATCGATTTCTGCCATGTTTTGGTCTGGCCGCCCCTAGCTTTCTTCCAACTTACGACTACACCACAAAACATAGCTCGTCGAGGCAGTCAGTGGTTAAGCAAACGCAGCACATGTCCCAACCACCTCAACTGATGAAGTTTCACCACTTCATCGATTGATCTGCCATTCTTACCTAGTACCCGTGTCCTAATAACAGCGTTGCTCACTCGGGTGTCCCACGATATACGAGCAATGCTTCGAAGACACCTATGATCGAAAACCAGTAACCTACGAATATCTTCTACCCTCATTGGCCATGTTTCACAGCCATAAAGTAAGACGGAGCGAACTACTGCGCAGTACACTCGTCCTTTAGTCAGCAAACGGATATTTGGCCTACGCCATAAGTGACGCAGGTTGGCAAAAGCTAATCGAGATCTCTGTATACGAGCTGAGATTTCGTCAGTCACCAAACGGCCATCAGCACTGATGAGACTCCCCAGATAAGTGAAGTGATCAACACGCTCGACTACTTCACTCCCTATCACTAGTTCAGGTGCCGATGAAACCCGGTCTTGAAGCAACATTTTGCATTTCGAGGGGGAAACCGCATCCCGAACATGCTTGCATTGTTGCTTAGGGTAATATAGTCAGAAGACTCTGCATTTTGTCAGCGTCTTCACCAAGTAGGACTATGTCATCGGCATATTCTAGATCAATAAGCGATTTTCTGGGTAGAAGGTCAACCCCTGAAAAATCTGATGAGCTTAATGTTAACTCTAAGAGAATGTCTACGACAAAGTTAAACAAGAATGGAGAAAGTGGACATCCTTGACGGACACCACTTGATGTAGAGAATTCAGATGAAAGTTCGCCATATGCTCTCATTCGACCAGTGGTGTTGGAGTAGAAATCTTGTATGAGGTTAATGTATTTCTTTGGTACACGTTTCAATGACAGACACTGCCACAGAACCTCACGATCCACTGAGTCAAATACCGCTTTTAGGTCCAGGAAGACAACTATTGCCGGACGCCTAAATGTGTGTCTGTGTTCCAGAATTTGTCGTAGTGTGAAGATGTGGTTTATACAGCCAAATCCAGGTCTGAAACCAGCCTGGTTTTCTCTAGTCTGCTCTTCATGAGCTCTATTTACTTGCGGTGTACAATGCAAATGAATATTAAGAATTCATTTATAATTTTATCCACTAGTTAAACATGCTTGAAGATAATACTTTAGAGATGTTAGCATAAGATTACTCACTTATTTCATAAGAGAAGTATTATAATTTTAGTTTAATTTCATTCATCGAAAAACAGAATAAGAAAATATCACAATGAAAAAATTTAGATATCTACGAACACATACACGATTTTAATTTCAAAAATCACTTAAGTTTTTAAAATAGTATTTAATTCATGTTAGTTCATTTGAAAAGATTGCTTAAATATAATACTTCAAACGGTAGGATACAATTGAATGAAGAATGCTTTCATCTTGTGATTTTGATTTGTTCGGCTACAGTGGAAAGATAATATTAACTTTTTAGTCTGAAACATATTTATGATAATTTAGATGGTAACTAACACAGTTTAATCAAGAATTCGAGTTTCTGTTCGTTTGGTCTACTAGTTGACTGAATGTGTTGTGAACGTTTATCGCAAGTACTAGTCACTAATTAGTTTATAGCTACATGTTATATTAAGGAGTCGGATCAAGAAGCTTTCATAACATTAAACGATTGATCAAGTGCACTCAAGAATATCATCAGTTGGAAAGTATAAACTATTACAAGATGATATCATGAAATGGCAGCATGTTGTTAAATAAAACCTTTTTAATTTTACTGAAAACAAATTTCAGTCTCTCCTGATAATCAAGTTTAACCAAAGAAACTATTACCTACAAGCACTGTGGAAGGAAGTGACCATTAACGCCATTTCATTCGCCAATCTACGCTAACCTTGCTTTAATGATTGATTATGTCACTAGGTTTCTCACTTGATGTTTCTATTCCTATATAGATTAGGCTGATATGACTATGAGAAGTAGTTACGATGCTTCCCTAGCGGTATGTATCAGTTTACCTAAACATAAGTCCATATTTATATGGTACTCTTTATGGTACTCTTTACTTTCTCAACAAAAATAGTGCATAAAATTCAACTGTAATAATACATAAATTTGACATGCATTTCAAATTGCGTAATCAACCTTGAATGAAGCCAAAGCATGCTATATATATATAAAGTATGAATTGTTTTGAAAGCTTATTGGCAAGAACAATCTAGCGTACAATGTGTTTTAAGGGGTATATGATATAAAAAAGATAAACGTAATTGCATGCAAATTTGATTTATGCGTCGTGATAAAGTGTATGCTGATAGTTGGTACTGTGATGACGACAGTGGTTTGTATGTTGTGACGTTGATATTGAGCGCAATGAAAAGGAGTATATATGTATATATATACTAGCTTGTAATTTGCATAGATCAATAAATATTTCAGCGAGTACCTTCAAACTACTAGTAGTTAAAACGTTTAATTAAGCAAAAATATAATTAAGGCATAAAAAATTTCTAATGCATGCTCAATTGTAATATGTGACTTGATGATGGTTTTGCAAATGCAGATCTTTATGAATAAGCTAAAAAAAAGGCGTGTAATGGAGAGAATATCATGCAATAGAAAGAAGTCTAAGATTAGATTGCTACAAACTAATCATCATTTTTTATGTGTGAGTGATTTCAATTATTTGAATGTTTTTAAACGGATCAGACTGACTGACACACACACACACAAACACAGAGAGGATTCTAACCACAACTTTTTACATGAATGAATAACAACAACATGGTGTACACTGAATTGATTGCCTAGAAAAAAAAATGCTGTTTCAATGCGAATCAAACATTTAAGGATTTTGAATAATCTCTAATATCTTAGGAAAAAGTAAGAACGGAATAATTTCAGAAGAAAGAGTTGAAAAAAAAGGTTTCTACAAAAACTTTATTTCTCGAATTTTATGATTAACTAATCAAATTTCATATAAACCAATTCATCAGTGATAAACTATCTAACTAATCGAAATCTTATCAATTTCAAATGGATTTGTACCAAGACTAAACCACACTGTATAAATTAGATATCTTGACATGAATAAAAAGTAAGTAAATAGCTAATGCAATTAGAAAGCTAAACAAAACTACAGCAAATATGAACTAATTTTACTGTGTATCGTGCAGATTTATGTATTTCAACAAATGATCTACTGTTCTCCATGTACTTAACTGTTGAATAATGATGTAATCATTGTCTGTTTGGTTATTGATAAGTGTTTATTGTTCTAGTGAAAGTATTCAACAACAACAACAACACGTATGAATGGAATGAATAAAAACAACAGCAAATATACAGAAACAACACTGTCACCATCATCCTCATCCTCATCAGCATCATCAGCAGCATCATTATCAACCATGACAAGCACAGTGCTAAAAGAAGCTGTCCTTAAAGCGTGCCAAAATGAGATTGAGTTGAAAATGATACTAGTAATAGTAGTAATAATAATAATAATTGTGGAAGAAGGTAGGTTAGAAGGTGAATACTCAAAGAAAACAAACATTGTATCATCTTAAACTATCTTTCTTACTGAAAATGCTTCTGACAAATTTGGTAAAACCTATAAAAAGAAATGAAGAAATGATGAATAAGAGAGGAAAAGAATCATTAGTTGCTATTGCTATTACTACTATTACTACTACTATTAGTAGTAGTAGTAGTGATATAAGTAGTACTTGTAAATAATATATTGTACAATTGATAAGAAGTTCAAACATTCTACAAATTGAAACCTGGAAGCACTGAAAGACGTCCTGGTATGAGACTCATCGGCAGTGCGCATCCACGACTTCTGCACCTCGCAGGATTCGAACCCGGGACTTTCGGTATTGTGCGCGAACGTCTAAACATCGGACCACTGGGCCGGCATCCAACGGTGTTAATGTCTAACTCTGATTGATCTAGGGGTTTTTGCGCGACCTCACCCATTTGTCTTTGGTAGTTAGTGCCTAATGGTGGTCTAATGGTGGTCTAACAGTGATTGATTGATGATTTCAAATGTGTAAAAAAGCACAAACCTCCAAAACTCTGCCCCGAGATATCGTAACACTGCTTACTAGTGACTAGCTTCGTGAGGAAATTTTCGGAGATCTAGTTGAGAAAACGTGACCGATGGAGTTCATCCCTGTCGGGTGTAGGCAGTAACTACCAAAGACAACTGGGTAAGGTCGCGCGAAATCCCTTGATCAATCACAGTTAAACATTAACACCGTTGGATGCCGGCCCAGTGGTTAGACGTTAGACGTTTGCGCACAGTACCGAAAGTCCCGGGTTCGAATCCTGCAAGGTGCAGGGGTCGTGGATGCTCACTGCTTCAGGTTTCTAATGGTGGTCTAACAATGATTGATTGATGATTTCAAATGTGTAAAAAAACACAAACCTCCAAAAAACTCTGCCCCAAAAATGTCAGAATAGTTTATCGACATGAGTAGATTTTCATTTAGATGAATCTAATAATGAATGATGAATTGTAAATCATTTCATGGCAATTTTTTTGGTTGACATGCAATTCAACATGTTCATTTTACTATCTGCTACATCACAATGGGGTTTTCATGCTATTCGATTTTGCAAAGATGTGATATAAATTATTTTTAAAACAATTATTTGATTACATCTATCTATCTATTGAATATGAAATTCCGCCTGGAGCCCTTTGGGGGGGAGGGTTTCTGCCCGGTCCCAAGCCCAGGGGTTATAGCGACCCCACCTCACAGAAAAGTAACTCGTTAAAAAAGACACTAACCAGACAAAAATAATTCAAATTATTTAAACTCTACACTAGGAGCTAGTAAGTCTTTATTCATTTTCCTTGAATGTGAGCTGACTTTTTACAAGTACTCTCTCATTCGTTGAATGAACTTACTAATTTAATGTGTGTGATCAAGCGCTTGTTGAGAATTCAAGTGAAAAATTGAGAACAAGTCAATCATCTTAAGCAAGAAATACTTATTTTTATAGGAACGTCTAATTTTATTTTTAACTTTTAACAAATAATGAAACAAACAACATAGATGTATCTTAGTTTGAAACAAAAATTGGTCAAATAATGTCTGCTGCTCTTCAATGCGAGATTCTACGATTTTACACTTTGTGCCTTGTTAATAATCTACTCTATAAACTCTAGGTTAAAGAATACAGAAGATAAGTTTTGAATCTTTACTCAAATTGTATGAGTACACATGATCGTAAGTGTCATCTCAATAGTTGGATTCCGCGGTGATAATGACCACACAATGAAAAAGTACAAATGAAGTTTTGGTGGTTAACTCAGAAAGCACAACTGTGAACATAAGACATGAATTATGGATAAAGACAGGTTAAAACAATATCGTCGATTTTGTATAAATAACCTTTAAAGAATCTCAGTGTAAGTTGTCGGGTTTGAAATTCAGTAACTAAGGCAGTCGATGGTTTAAGCATGAACTAACTGAGACTGACTATTGAATGATGCCATTTTGACAATCTTGAGATACATAGTTTAAAAGAAAAAGGGCATACTAGTGAACAAAAGAAAAACTATTCTTATTCAATCGCTTATGTTGTGGTGTGTGCTACTTATACGAACGATATAAGTAGTATAAGAAGGGACTTGAAAGAGGAAGTCTCACGGTCAGAAGAGGAAAACGGAAAGCAAATGGAGAAAAAGCAAGAAGTAAATGGAGTACCAACAGGAAGTAAAGGAAGCAACAACAGGAATGGAAGAAGGATGGAGCGTTGGAAGTCACGACTCAAAGATGGTGTGCAAATAGAGTTTTCAATGTAATGTTTTCGTTTTTAATTGACGCAGAGTGTTAATTGGCATAATACAATCTTCCTCGCCTGCCTCAGTCTTCTCAATGTGAATCAGAGTGAGATGCATGGTTAAATAATTACTCCTATTGAAGATTGATCAAACTTGACACTACCGTTCATTGGTAGTACTGTGAACATGGAGAGAGTCATTGGTCAAAGAATAAATCCAAGAATGAAGGATATGAAATTATACAAGGTACAAGATTAAAAAGATTGTCAATAGATACATCTAGGCCATTTCAATAGATTTTGAGCGGTCACCTAACATCTTGAACCATAGACTATGATTATCAGAATGGTCTGAATAAAAGAGACTGTATCTCCCAATAGTTCATCGACTGACATTGTCTTAGTCTACCTATATATGTATTATTTTTATAATCCTTTTTCGTTAATGATTGTGAATTAGAGGAAATGCTGACGAGATATACACGAGATGCGTCTCAGACACTCACTATAGATGAAGATATATCATGTTGCTATGTTTGCTTAGTTTTTTCAGCTTAGCCTCTCTAACTGAGATCTAGTTAATTCACGCTTGTTTCCTGTCTTCGAGGATCGTGTTTTACAGTGACAGAGGTAAAGCGTTATACTCACCTCTTGATAGGAAAACGGTCATAGCGTCGAAGTCACATTTTGAACACACTTAATCATGGTAATACGGTTAAGTATTCTTCAGCAAGGAAGAATAAAATACACTTAATTATTAGAAATAAAATGTTATAATCATGTGATTATATATATATATATATATATATATATATATATATATATATATATATATGAATAACCAATGTATGGTAGCTATAATTCTGAGTTAAACATTGACATTAAGTTAAAAAATTCATGCTATCGAAATTTAAGAAGTCATCCAAATTCGAAACTGAAGAACTATTTCTTTCCAGTAAAACAGTGGTCAGTTTTCCATGTGTAACACAAGAAATAACATCAGATATAGTAGTTAGTTTTGATTTGTTGGTGAGGATTAGTGTTTCGGTGCATCGGAAACAAATAGCTTGAAATGTAATCGCTATCAGCGTTGTAATCTATAGGTAATTTTTAATAGTAAGCCTTTTTAAATGACCTACTCATAACCCATTACTATTTTCGGAGGCGAGAAAGTTAAAATTGGTATTTTCCACAGATGTCAAGCGATTAATTTAACTTGTATTCCGATATTTAAATAAATATTCATAGTAATTATTATTGTTCCTATCGTTTTATACGAGTTTCACAGGAATCACTATGTTTTCATTAAATTGATTTTGGATGACAGAAAATATTATCTCAGTTTCGAACGAAGATTTTGACGTAGTTTTTGCTTTTTGAACTCATTGGTTCGATTGTGAAGTTTTCAATATATTTATCATTCGATGTTACTTGTTTTAATTATTGAAATAATGAATCCATCAATGTTAGACCATCATTAGAAACCTGGAAGCACTGAAAGACGGCCGTTTCGTCTTGGTATGGCAGTCATCAGTGGCAGTGCGCATCCATGACTTCTGCACCTCACAGGATTCGAACCAAGGACCGTCGGTCTTTCACGCGAACCCCTATCTTCTGGACCACTGAGCCGGTATCTAATGGTGTTAATGTCTAACTTCTATCAATTCACGGAGTTGCGCAACCTCATACACTGTCTTCGGATAGTTACTGTCCACATCAGAACAGGGTTGAACTCCACTGGTCACGACATCTCACTAGAACTCGGATAAGGTTCCTCTGGAAGCTTGATTTCAATAAGTAACTCAACAATCTCCACAACCCTATAATGCTTTTATTTTAATGTTTACAAAGAAAGCTAATCAAGATAAATACTAGTTTTTTTTTTCATTAGGAAGGAATGACAATCAGATTTTTTCCAATGTATATTATTATTTTGTCCAATGCTGTATTAATTCGAAAAATTGTTTGAAATAAAAAATACTTTTAACTTTCAATAGGTTGTGTTTATAGCGTTATTAATTATAACGTACGAATACTGTTGCAAAAAAATCTTAGGTAAATGTGAATTAACCTTGAATATTTAACGAATGAATATAATAACTTTAGTTAAAGTTTCCTGTACGAGAAATTTTCAAATGTGAAACTTAGTTTTGTTATTTGGCGGACTGATATCCAACATCTCACTGTCATATCAAGAATGAAAAACATTATAGCAGAAATGACAATGGATGGCTAAAGCACTTTATTATAAACTAATTATTCTTGTACAAAAATCCGGACTATTTAGATTTCAAATTATGAGATTAAAAAAATCGTTGTCACAGATTTTATCACTGGCCAGGTTTTGTATATAAATCAGTTGGTATTTGAAATGTCCATCAATGGATATGCTTGAATAGCTATTACGAGTTCACCGTACTCGGTAAACGGAACGAAAACACTGATATCGATCGTGCCACCATAGGCTAACTAAATCAAGAAGTCTTAATAAGGCGTAGAAAGTGTATTCTACAAGCATTCAGAAAATACGAGGTCGACAAGCACACAAATCGAGCTTATTTATTATACATGATAGAATCGCCCTTGGGAGAGCCGCAAAATACCGTACTAAAATAACACATTAACCAATGATAGTCAAGGATTTTCCTAGGGGGGAAATATGAGCTGAAGGTCAACTGGAGTCAAAACATGAAAATTTAAAATTTCAGGATAAAATTATAAAATTAAGACCTTTCCAAGTGAGTTCTGGGGATCTAACATCCCCAACCGTATTTCCGAACTAGGATGAAGAATTAATTTGAAGTTATATTATTTATACAACTACTAATAGTACTTTCGATACTTGTAGCAATGATACTAAGAGGCATATAACTAATAATAATAATAATCATAATACGAGCTGCAACATGCAACATTAAATCTGTGCAAACAATCAATATGTCGAATCATTCTAAATATTAAATAATAACAAGCACATCAAAGTTTCACGTATACACAGAATTCTAGAAATAGATATTTGCATGTAAATAAGAAAATTAGTAAAAAATACAGAAAGTTACATATATATATATATATATATATATACACTTACCAGATTTCGGTGTAACTTTCGGTGGTAGTGTAGCAACTTTGACTGCTAAACCAAAAGCATCTTTATAGGTTGTACTATCTCGTATAAGAAAACTGCCAGGAACTTGTTGACGTAAAATGCTTATAGCTGATAGAAATTATAAATGAACAGAAAAATGAGAATAAGAATAATTCCATTAAGTCTGATACAAATATTTTGTACGGAAATAGTTCATTTATTAAACTTGGTATTAAAAAATCCAAACGAAGGCTGGATATGAGGTATAAAATAGTGTGTGAATGAAATATATTGGACGGGAACTGATGCTGATCAAGTCTTAAATTGTAAAAAAACATCTTTCACCCACTTATGAAAACTTCAGTAAATATTACTAAGGAGAATTCGTTGGCAGACGTTTGAAGAAAACTTATTAATATGGTTTAATCGAAAAGTTTTTTGTTGGTGTCGCTGCCTACACAAAGGATGAAGATTCCGTGGCTGAAGGGGTTTGAAGACGGAGATGTGCGGAGCTTCCTGAAGGCGTTTGAGGCCGTGGCGGAGCTGGTGGGTGTGAAGGAGCCGAAGACGAAGTTAGTGGTGCTGGGGACGCTACTGAGAGGTAGGGCAAAGGCCGTATATGACAGCTTGGACGGTGGTGGCTGGAAGACGACGTGGGAGACGGTCACGGAGCGGTTGATGACGGAGTTCGACAGCCCAGTGGACAGGGAGGAAGCTTTGTATGGGGTGTGTGTTCGAGCGTGCTAGATTGCATATGAATGGAACAATGGACTCCCTGTGACAAACAATCTCAGGAATCCTTTTCAAATTGTAAAGAAAGTGGCGTGAACTGCTGTCTTAAGTGCGTCTCTAGGTTACGCATTACAACTTCACTTTGGGATTACTTTTGGTCTAAATTTATTTGTGCCCCTGATCTAGTGATTTGACAGTCGATGGAATTTTCTTCCACACCTAGTAGTTCTGAGATTCGATGGATGATTTTTGGTATATTTACAGTTACTGAATGGTTTACGGTGAATGTGATATGTAACTTGTCGTCCTCACTTAAAGTGGGATTTAGGGACATCTTGGTTGATTTTGACTGAGGTGAAATTATAGTTTCACCAGTTTCCGAGTCGACGGATGGAAGGCATGGATTCAGATCAGTGGATATTGGAGATTCACTCATTGCACTTTTATATGGGTCTTGACCTGCTACATCGTGTTCAATCTTTAGAGAAGATATGTTTGAACCATTAACCTTATTAAGTCCGGAATCCAAACCATTTCCAACACAAGGAGTCTCTGTTCTTTCTAAAGAATTCGATGGGTTCTGAGAAAACATCTGAAGCAACGATTGAGGTATAAGTGTCTCACCCGACAATTTGCACGAGTCGTACCCAACTTTGAGTTCATCATAACTATCTTTGGATACTTTTTTGCAAACTGATTCATTCTCGAAAATAGAGTTTTCATGTTATTCTTAAATGATGGAGGTTCCAGAGATGCACACACCGAATGGTGCTCAAAAGATGATCGCTTGGAGCACTTATACGAATAAATCACGAGACGAGGTGGTAACACTAACCTAACTCAAGAGCATCATGTCTCACACGGCCTGCGCATTTACAAAGTCACAGGAACAAATTTTCTTACTCTTGATGAAAAGCCTTCTAGAGATTAAAGCCAGACAGGTGAAGGAAGACATTTGTGAATGGTGACTAACCGATTTTCTTTACTATATATATATATATATATATATATATATATATATATATATATATATATATATATATATATATATATATATATATTGTACAAATTAAAGTGTTCCGTCAAGTTAGTAGTTGTATTTCTTAGGTATACTTTTCGTATATATAAATATGTTCGATTGAGAGAATCATTAAGACATGGATAGTGGTGAGATGATGTAGATCAGAAAACTTGCAGGCATTTAGAACTCATTATCCTGAAATAAAAATGCAGTCTATCATTTACTGAAATGACGATCAAGAAAGTAGAGAAAAGAAATATATGTAAGTTTGGCGAGAGTACAATCGCTTGTAACAACCAGTTGCATTGTCTCCAAAGGGAATTAGTAACTGCTAGTCATATCTAGAAAATTTATTATTGTCTAAGTAAGCAAGGTTGCTTACTCTCACCCTTTCCCTTTCTCCTGGTCATCCATTGATTGGATTATGAAGACGTCGACATCTGGAGAGAAGCACGGTATCGACTGGACAGTTAGCACGCAGCTGGACGATCTGGATTTCGCAGATGATCAAGCTCTTCTATCGCACACTCAACAACAAATGCAAGAGAAGACGACCAGTGTAGCAGTAGCCTCTGCAGCAGTAGGTCTCAACATACATAAAGGAAAAAGCAAACTTCTCCGATGCAACACAACATGCACCAACCAAATCACTCTTGATGGAGATGCCTTGGAGGACGTTAACACCTTTACATATCTTGGCAGCATCATCGACAATCAAGGTGGATCCGATGCAGATGTGACGGCGCGGATTGGCAAAGCAAGGGCTGCATTTCTACAGTTGAAAAATATCTGGAACTCCAAACAACTTTCAAACAAAACCAAAATCAGGATCTTCAATACAAATGTGAACACAGTTCTACTGTATGGAGCGGAAACATGGAGAACTACCAAAGCCATCATCAACAAAATGCAAGTATTCATTAACAGTTGTCTACGCAAAATATTACGGATTCGTTGGCCAGACACCATCAGCAACAACTTACTTTGGGAGAGAACAAACCAGATTCCAACGGAGAAGGAAAGCAGGAAGAAGCGGTGGAAGTGGATAAGACACACACTGTAGAAAGCATCCAACTGCGTCACAAGACAAGCCCTCACTTGGAACCCTCAAGGCCAAAGGAAACGAGGAAGGCTAAGGAACACATTACGTCGAGAAATAGAGAAAGATATGAGAGGAATGAACAAACATTGGACAGAACTGGAGAGGGAAGCCCAGGACAGAGTTGGTTGGAGAAAACTGGTGGGCAGCCTATGCTCCATTGTGGGTAACAGGCGTAAGTAATTAAGTAAGTAAGTTTTCTTACTGATACTTTCATTCGTAAAAACACAAAATAGATAAGCTAGTATCTATTTGAACTCATTAATTAACTCAGTAGATAGAGTTCTTTAGGCACTTGAAACCGAAATTTCTCAATTTGAGTTCTGTAGTAAGCATTAAACACTCACTACATTACAGTTACAATCAGATGATGAGTTAAAAACAGAATGAAACGCTTCGTTCTGGCTTCCAATACTCTAGACACTATGTTATACTTATTATTTTATTCTATTCTGTTTCATGTAAGATAAATATACAGAAAGAGGACTACTACTATCCAACTTAATAATATTATTAATATTATGAACTTCATATTATTTAGTCTAATAATATTATCTCTTATTGTTCATTTTGTTACTTCCATTAATCTTCACTGATAAAAATCTTTTCAATAATAAAGTATATTCATTAGTTTTAATGAATCATACTATTTATATTCAGGTTATAAGTAGTTGAAGAGAAATCGTAAAATAAAATCAATTCATATTATTCCGTTACATTAATGATTATTGTACATAGTAGTTTTACAGTCGTCTCATATGAAGATAGAAAAACTCTTTTATTCGAAAAAATTCACAAGAAATTATTGAGTCAATATAATAGAAAACACTTGGAAACATTTTTTTTTTCAGATGTATTGTATATTTTTTTGCACACACAAAAAAACAAATTAATTTAACATTTTATGCATATTTATTCTGTTTGTCAATTTGTTCGCACTAACATGATGTAGAGAGTTTTTTTTTCTACATGTGAAGCTTACAGTGTTTGGCATTTATTCCATGAAATATAAATATATATATATATATATATATATATATATATATATATATATATATATATATATATATATATATATATGTATATGTCATGCCGACCGACTAGTAAGTTTCTGCAATGCTTTTTATGCGCTTTCTCATGTTGTGTGTCACATAATTGATTAAAATGACATTGATTTCAACTAGTCAATACCTTTGAAAGACCAATTTTTAGATTGATATGTATGTGAGGAAATAAAAAATTAAATTAAAAATTCTTGAATCACACCTATTTATGTTGTATTTTTTATGACTTTTCAGTCAGTCATTCATAATGGTAATAAAAAAAAATCAAAATTCACAGTGTTTTAAAGCACACACTAGTAGTATTATCATTGAAATAAATAAATAGTTTGGAATTTTTTAGTCATTTTCTCATGTGAGTTGTTGATATGCAAGAAATTTGACTTATTGCTCTTTGTTGGAAGTAGGATGTCAGTCTATCGGAAGGAAGTGCAAATTAATTATGAATAGTAACTTATCATTAGGTGGTTTTTATAATGAAAACAAATTGGCTGGAGTATCTATCATTAAGAAGTAAGGGGGCATTGTGTAGCTGTGATATCCTATTGTTTGGCTTCAAACAATTGCTCACTTAGAACTTTATCATCATCTATCAACAGTAGCCTAAAACTTATTACACTGAGCTAGAATCTAATGGTTGGTTGACATTACTAACTAATTTCAGCTAACAAATATGTGCGGCAGACAAATTTCACACTGAGCAGTCAATAATAATAATAATAAATCTAGTGACTACATGAATGATTTATATTTTTTTTAATTCAAAGTATGGATATCCTTAAAGGTAATTAAATTTTATGATTGCGAAAATAGTAATTGCATTACGGAGTTGTGAAGATTGTTAAGTTACACATATATGAAATCATGAATCGTGACCAGTGAAGTTCATCAACCTGTTCGGGTGTAGACAGCAACTAACGAAGACAGTGTATGGGGTTGCAAAACTCCGTGAATTGATCGAAGTTAGACATTAACACCATCAACACCGACGATCCTTGGTTCGAATCCTGTGAGGTGCAGGAGTCGTGGATGCACACTGCCACTAATGAGTCCCATACCAGGAAGAATTGGCCGTCGTTCAGTGCTTCCAGGTTTCTAATGGTGGTCTAACTTTGATCGATTTTTATGATTTTAAATATATTAATTTATAAACAAAGGCATGATTCAATGAAAAGTCCTTGATTAAAATCGACTAGTTCTTCACAACTACACACACACAACTACTTACCTTCTTCTCGGGATAATTTAGGTCGATACCAAACTCGTGCAGTTGCATTCACATGAGCCATATTATCACCGTCTACTACATCTAGTTTGATTTTCTCTGATTTCCATCCATTTTGCATAATAGGCACCTCGGTACGTTCATTCTCTTTTCTCGTAGCAGATGAAACATTCAAATTACTGATAATTTTTGTTGAACCAGTTACTGTTTGTGGAGTAGTTGTGACAGAAACTTGATCTGAATAAGTAGATCGTGTACCAAGTCTATTGGTTGAATAATTTTGAATTGGAGTACCTGATAAAAAAGTGTTTTCAAGTAATTGTGTTATACTTTTTTTCATAGCAATTATAATTTAGGAGGCATGCAAATAAGAAGGCACTTTATATTCAAATGAAACTAATCATTCACTTGGTAAACACATAATTTTTTGATAGACTGGAAAACTTTCCAGTTATAATTTTATTAGAGAACTATTCAAAGATCAGCTAAGATTAAAAAAACAAACTAGTAATATCGTTTAGAATATTGTCAAGTCAGCTTACGAATCAACATATTCTCATCAATCAAAGCTAGACAATCATTAACACAGTGTAATAATTCCTGAAGTAAAATGGTCGATTATTACTTGAACAAGTAGTAGACGTCAAGTTTGAAAGTACGACAAATCAAGTTGAAGAGGATAAAACTTTTAGTATAAATACAAGATTTAAATGACATCACTAAAGATTGTTTCAAACATTTTCTGCAGGATAAAAATTAGCATATTCACTAGTAAATGCTTTAGTGGACTTATCTATGAAATCGGGTTCAATAACACGGTTAGATACCGGCTCACTGGTTCAGAGGTTAGGCGTCCGCGCACAATATCGAAGGCCTTGGTTCGAATCCTGCGGGGTGCACAAGTCGTGGATGCGTATTGCTGATGAGTCCCATACCAGGATGAAACGGCCGTCGTTCAGTGTTTCCAGATTTCTAATGGTGGTCTAACATTGATCGATTCATAGTTTAAAAAATGTTTAATTATTGTTGTATCAGACCCAACTTAATAATTTATAATTAACTTAGAGCCTGATAAAGATGTTTGTTGACCCGAGTTGAGCATGGTTTTCTCTACTGTACTAAATATATTGTACTGAACAAGGTGGGTGTCATGATTTTGATTTAAACCAATGATATGAAAAGCAACAAATCGCATATTCTGAGTTAATAAGATTACCAGGGTGAAAATCTTTTAGACATTGATTTGAAATGACTAATAATTCATACTTCAGGAAATTTTACACCATACTACTGACTTACTTGATGTTGGTTGTACACGATTAATGAAAATAGTCTGTTCTCCATCATGATTATAATTTTGTCTATTGAGATATCTAAAATAGGTAGAAAAAAGATGTATTCAGGGTAAATATAGAGAAATATATGCTTTTTGAAATTAGGACTGATTGTGTGTGCTTAATTTCCTTCGAATTCTGTTGACCTAGTACTAATGGACAGAAAATGCTATGAATCTTAGCTGGCTCATCCACTGGGGTACATGTTAATTAATCTGTCTTCGTTATAAGGTTTAACTATTACCTCTTCATATCGAATTTTAGTGATTTAAGTATTAAACTTGATCTATGATATCAGTAGTAAAAATTGTTTTAAAATGATTTAACTGTTTGCTTGAAAGCTAACTGGTCAAGAGATAAGAAACTAATATCAGAATGGAACTTGTTTCGGGGACTCAATTATCTTTGACGAAAATTTTATTTTACAGAGGTTGTTAAGTTTCATCGAAATAGTGAATCGATCATTGTAAGATCAACATTAGAAACCTGGAAGTACTGGAAAGGACCGCAGGGTCCTTAGTATGGGACTCATCAGCCGTTCTCATCCACGACTCCAGCTCACAGGAACCGAACCCAAGGCCTTCGGTCTTGTGCGTGAACCGGAGCAGGTCGTTACCAATGAGGCTCAATGCTGTCAGGTGTAGACAGTAACTACCAAAGACAATGGTTGAGGTTGCATAGAATCCTTAGGTTGATCAGAGTTAGACATTAACACCAGTGGATGTCGACTCAGTGGTCCAGAATTTAAACAATCGCGTGCGAGACCGAAGGTCCTTGGTTCGATTCTTACGAGTGAGGGTCGGGGATATGTACTATTGATGGGTCCTATACTAAGACGGAACGGTTGTCCAGTGCTTCCAGGTTTCTAATGTTGATCTTACAATGACTGATTCACTATTTCGATAAAGTTTTATCGTAAATTATGAAAGTAAACTAGTAATAATCTGTTTCCGATGATCGAACCTTCTTGATTGTTCATAAATTATCATTTTGTAAAAAAAAACATTGAAAATACTCTAAAGCCATTTCCCAATGATAAATTATGAGTATGAGATTTTTCATGGAAGAACTGCAGGAGGAATTATTCATATGGAACTGTAGAAAAAAATGAAGACGAAAAGTGTTTCTCGTTCCAAGCAAAAATATTCATACAACAAGAAGGCAGAGAAAACCAACTATAGCCTAGATCATGGCTTTGTGTAAAAACAATCTGTTAGGGATGTTGGATCCCCAGAATTCGCTTGGTAGATGACTTATCTCGGATTTCACATTTACGAGCATGAGCTGTTCAGTTGACCTTGAAATTTCATTTCCCACCAGGAAGATCCATGGCTATGATTGGCTGCTGTGTATTTTAGTGTGCTATTTTCTTAACTGTCCCAAGGATGTTTCTATGATGCATAAATAAACGAGAGTTATGCGCTTGATTGCACTTTTGCTTGCTGGGTGTTGCAGAATATACTTTCTACGCTTATCAAGACTTTTGTTTTGCAGTTTGAGATCAAGGTAGCCTACCTGGACGCTAGTAATTGTCTCGTTCGCGTTTATCGACTAAGGTGAACTCGTAATAGCTTCAAGCGTACACCTATTGACGAACTTAACACAATCTCTCATTGATGACGGTACAATTATTTCAAGTGAGTAATAGCCCAAATGATTAGCAAAAAATTTTTATTGAATTCTTATCACATTTCAGTTTTAACCAATGAACTGTTAGCTCATTAAATAAAGAAGAATTTTTACAGTTGATTATTATCAACCAATCAAATTATAAACTCTTGGTTTTGATTTATGTCAGTTCAGTCAGTTGCAACGTAGAACTTCGTACGTATGTACATAAGTTCATGTTGCCATACCACATTATTAGCACAGAGACGCAAATGTCAAATCAAATCTCATAGTGATAAAGATAGTAGAGGTATTAATGTTAATAAAGAAGACTAGGGTTTGAAGATATTATTTAAGAAGTATAATTCAGTGAGATAAGGTTAGAAAGACAAAGGTAGGGGTGCTGACGAATCCAGAAGATTAGGATTTGAGAGAGCTCAAAGAGTGGATGCACTTGAGCCATTGCAAACGATTTTGAGCCATGTCGTTCAAGGTCTCTAACCATTGGTGACTTTCGTTTCCCGGACCCCAACCAGGTAGTCAACACCTGCCAACATGACTCAGTCCACTTGTCAGTGACTTCATGGATTTCTGCCATGTTTTGGTTTGGCCGCACCTAGCTTTCGTCCAACCTGCTCTTACACCACAAAACAGCTCGTCGAGGCACTCGGTGGTTAGGCATTCGTAAGACATGTCCAAACCACCTCAACTGATGGAGTTTCAATACTTCACCTATTGATCTGCCATCCTTCCCTAGGACCCGTTTCCCAACTAAAGCATTGCTTACTCGGTTGTCCCAGGATATATGAGCAATGCTTCGAAGACATCTATAATCGAATACTAATAACCTGCGAATGTACTCTCCTCTGACTGGCCATGTTTCGCATCCGTATAGTAGGGCGGAGCGAACTACTGCACAGTACACTCGTACTTTGGTTAGCAAACGGATATCTCGCCTACGCCATAAGTGACGGATGTTGGCAAAAGCCAATCGAGCATTCTGTATCCGTGCTGAGATTTCGTCAGTCACCAGGCCATCAGTACTGATGAGACTCCCCAGATAAGTGAGGCGGTCTACACGTTCTACTACTTCACTCCCTATCACTAGTTCAGGTGCCGATGAAACCCAATCTTGAAGCAACACTTTGCATTTCGAGGGTGAGAACCGCCTCCTGAACATGCTTGCATTGTTGCTTAGGGTGGTCAAAAGACGCTGCATATTATCAGCGTTGTCACCAAATAGGACAATGGCATCAGTATACTCTAATTCAGCAAGCGATTTTTCTGGTAGAAAGTCCACTCCTGAAAATTCAGACGAGGATAAGGTTATATCTAGGAGCATGTCTATGATAAAATTAAACAAGAATGGGAAAGTGGACATCCCTGTTGGACACTACTTGAAGTAGAGAATTCCGATGACAGTTCGACATAAACTTTTACTCGACGATTGGTGTTCGAGTAGAGAGCCTGTACAATGTTAATGTACGTCTTTAGTACACTTTTCAATGACAGACACTGCCATAGAACCTCACAATCAACGGATTCGAATGCCGCTTTAAAATTGAGGAATACTACTATTATGATGGGCGTCCGGACGAGTGTCTTTGTTTTAGGACCTGACATAGTGTGAATATCTGGTCTATGCATCCACGTCTATGTCTGAAACCAGTCTAGTTTTCTCGAGTCCGCTCTTCACAAGCTTTCGTTAAGCGTCGGCGGGAATATGTTATTGAACAATCGACATGTACAAAAAAGGATTTTCAATCTATATTTTTTTTAAAACAATAAACAAATGTCCAATAATTTCTTTCATCCCCAAGACAATCATATCAACAATACAGAAATATGCTTAAACATCATAATATGCATCAATATTGTAAACTTACTGAGTTGAAGCAAATGGTTGTCGTGATAAACTTGCACGTGAACTTGCTCGTGGAGGTTGATGATCGTCAATTTGACTTAAACCTATGTATTATCATTGTTATTATTATTATCATTATTGATTTGATCAATATGTCAGATCAATATGGAGATTGTATGTGTGTGTGTGTGTGTGCGTATGCGAGACAGAGGGTGAGAGATAGAAAAAAATAAAACAAGAAAAACATGTATAAATGTTCAATGAATTTTGGATTTATTGAAACAGCACTGTTGTTGTTATAACGGACTAATTTTAATAAATTAATATGAAAATTATTGAAAAAAACAACTAGTAATGATGAGAATGTTAGGATAGACTTTTTATTAAGTAATGGATATATATAAATACGTATTAAATAAAGAAAGGCAAAGTGTATTGTTAGGTTGAAAGTTAACATCTGTTATATCGGAATTATTGGGAATTTTACTGCGAATTCTACAGCTAATTAGATTTTACACTCAATTTAATTGGTTAGTCAAATTATATATAAATATATAACTACTGACCGATATGAGAAATAAAAATACACAGCTATAGTTCATTCAATTGTTACAGTAAATGCATTTTATACATATAGATTTATGAAATACTGAGCTTTAAAATTAGCAATTAATTAGATCAGTGAAAAAAAACAATTATTTGATTGAAACATTCAACAGATTAAAGAATATAATATATTTCTGTTGTATCAATCTTATAATATAGGGTATGTGAAAAAAAACAAGCCAGTAAAAGCTAAAAGAACTCATGTTAAGTAATAGTTGATCTACGTGGAAAAATTGCTGTGATTACAACCTGATTGATTACGTTATCCAACTGTAACGCAATTGATGTTATGTAATGAGTAAATTTTCTTGTTTAAAATGTAATAATAGTTTCGTCTTTTTTTTTCGTTAGTACTGTCCAAACTTATTTGTTAAATGTAATCTTGATGTATTTTCTGAAGTATACAAATATGTTGAGTGAAAGATGGTGTTGAATGGTGTTGATTAACAGTTGTCTACACAAAATACTTCTGATTCGTTGGCCAGACACGATCAGCAACAACGTACTGTGGGAGAGAAAAAACCAGATTCCAGTGGAGGAGGAAATCAGGAAGAAGTGGTGGGAATGGATAGGACACACACTATGAAAAGCACCTAACTGTGTCTCAAGACAAGCCCTCATATGGAACCCTCAAGGCGAAAGGAAAAGAGCAAGGCCAAGGAACACACTACGCCGAGAAATAGAGAAAGACATAAGAAGAATGAACAAAAATTGGACAGAATTGGAAAGGCAAGTCGAGGACCGAGTTGGTTGGAGAAAACTAGTGGGTGGCCTATGCTCCGTTGGGGGGTAGCATGCGTAAGTAAGTAAGTAAGAAAGAAAGATGCTTAAAACGAATACACCATTAGGTCTACTATAAAATTGTCGATGATTTTAGAATTGTTCAGTTTATTCTAATGTACATTTTTACAAAAGAGAAATTAAATCTTAGTAGTGTGTAGCTTTAAATTCAATTCTATGGTTTGTTAATATGCATAAATGATGAAATATATATATTTTTTTATAGTAGTATTTCAAAGATATATCAAGTCAGTGTACTTCACCAAAGCTTAAATTATTTTGTATAAATTAAACCAAAGAGAATGCCTGTAATATTCTAGTTACACAAATAAAAATAAATATAAATCTGGTGAAAAACGTTTTAAGTGTTATATGTGGTTATTTGTGCTGACATATTAGCTTGTATGTAAAGTTATAGGTGGTATGTAGTAGTAGTAGTAGTAGTAGTAGTAGTAGTAGTAGCAGTAGTAATAGTAGTAGTAATAGTAGTCGTAGTAGTAGTAGTAGTAGTAGTAGTAGTAGTAATAGTAGTAGTAGTAATAATAATAGTAGTTTGGTGAATATTCAAACATGCAAATTATCTACTATTGTTATTGGCCAACTGATATGCGCAAATCTTAAAAACATTAGTTAAATACCAACCATGTATTTCCGTTTTCAATACACTTTTCTCCGGTTCCAACATACTGATTTCATGGTTGTTAATTTCTTCTTCATTATCATCCATGTCAATATTAGTTGGATAGTTTGAATTCGACTTTAAACCATTCACTGAACGTATAGTTCTTACATTATCAGGCAAAGCCCATAATCTAGACCGTTCCGTTGGTTTGCCTAATGAAACAACTTTTTTCAAATTAATCATTTCGGATTCATGACTATCAAAATGATTGTTTCCTGAAACATTGCCCAATGGTGTTTCAAATACTTTTATATCTTTTTTTGTAATTTCATTCAATTGATGAGGACTGGTGGATTTTTTACCATCAGGAAACAATGTTGCCGGTAATTCACTTGATTCTAATACTTGAATTTTTGCCATTTGTGTATTAGGCATCATATCTTCATAATTAATTTGTTCTATAGGTGGTGTACTAGTTATATTTCTTTCACTTCTCCATGTTTTACAAGTAGTTGGTGTTGTACTTAAATTTCTTGGCAATGCTGTCCATAAAGGTGAACCGGTTATATCACGTCCTGGATCTGGTGTACGAGATTTTAACATAGGATATGTTTCACCGGAACCATTAAAACCAGAATGATTTTTATAATATAAACCATTAGAAAATCCTCGAGCAGGTCGACTATAACGAGTTGGTGTGGTACTATGCGCTCGATTAAAATCATATGAAGTTGGTGTAAACATTCGTGGATTTCGATATGCTTGCCTATGAACTTTTTAGATTGTTTTTATGTTGAGTTTATGCAAAAAATTTATCACATCAAATTAGGTAACATATACATATTAATATATACAGATTATAAAACACAGTGAGTGCAATATGATTGATTTACATACAAAAATGATCAATACATGTATTCGAATCACGATTAATACATGGAGAATGGGAAACAAGAAAGAATAGAAAAAAAAAAGTAATTGAGGAAGTATTCATTCACAAAAAAAAAATCATAAATAAATCAATAATTTATTTTTACAATTCTTATAAACCAATTGTATAGTTTAGTTATTAATTACATTGTAGGATACTGTTAACAGTTCAGTAGTTGTAAAGATTGTTGAATTTGATTAGGGTCATTCATAAATTGATTTGTTAATTTAGATAACCATTGAAAACTAGTATGACTAAGATATTAGTTTTTTATTTTAGTATGAGATTCCCTTAGCAATGCGTATTCATGATATCATCAGCTAAATAGTTGAAGAAGGTGCTTACTTAAAAAGTAATGCAACATGGTTACGAAATATTGTCAACTGATTAGAGAGAGTTACATTGATATCTTTTATCAATATCAATGTGAAAGTGTTGATAAACTCGGAACCAAAGAAATAATCTTATTGTCATTCCTTATATCCTGTATTAGTTGCTACAACATTAAACGAACTATTAATTTGGCGTAATAAAAACGCACACTCTGGATAAATAGACTGGCAATTTAGATAGAAAAGTGAATGGAACACTATTGAATACATACAAAGAGAACAACTTGTTAATGCTTTGTTTGATGAAAACTATAGTATAAAATATTATTCTTTACTAAAACAGTACTATTGTAGTTAATGAGAACATAGGTGGGGCAACCGAATTGTATTTAACGAAAATTACAGAGTTACTCAGTAAAATAGGAAAACCATATCGTAAATGGTTAATTTGCAAAATATCAGTTCATCATATCGAACTGGACTGTTCCTGTTGCAAAACATCAATCCATTGTCACTATTCATGCGTTTCATACAAATTCCATTGTGTTCTAACTCTTCCTTTCTTCTTGATCTTCCCCCATCTTCTGCTGCCAGACATTACGTTGACGCTCACGTCATATACTACTTATAAGTAGCTCACACCACACTATTACTAACCTGGTTCAAGTATAAGTCTTTAGGTTTAGAAATATAAGCTTATCAGGAGTTTTGTAATTCAACTTTCTACACTAGAAATAAGCTAAGCGTACTTATCATATACTAATAATTTATTTCCATTGGTTTTAAAGGAAGATATTGTATATACAAGTACTAGGAAGTACTGTGGTAGGTAGAACAAATCAGAAATTTGATATATTCTGAATTTTAAGAAGTCATTCAATATTTTTACACAGGAACTTAAAATAGCAAGATAAATCATAGAAACATTACGTGATAAGTGGTAACAATCAATCAGTTGATTGTAAATAATGATGCATTGTCGATGACATTATCAGTGATAAATGTATGTAGAAGTATTTTTAACAAAATGCATAAACTTTGGAAAACAAAAGCACTGGATTATAATGATAAACTGAATTACGTTGTCTTATTTATTGTAATTTAGTAATATATTCTTTATGCCTCACAAATCTTTTAGACTTGAACTATGCAATAAAGTTTTATTTGTGCAGAAGAACAGTGAGATGATTCAATTTACTTATTGTTGAAATGTACTACTGAAGTTATATATATGTATATATTACGTGTGGAGATACTTGAGCTCTTCAGTTCAGTATCAGGTTACTAAAATTTGAAAAATTTTGGTGAGTGTACTGACTCTTAATAAGAGCTGAACATCACAAGTTTTTTAAAGTGTACTTGTTGGGGATGTTAGATCCCCGAAATTCGCTTGATAAATGCCTTATTTTGGTTTTCACGTTTGCGAGCATGGGCTGATCAGTTGACCTTGAGATTTCAATTTTAGTGTGCTGTTTCCTGAACTGTCTCAAGGACGTTTCTATGTTGTATAAATAAACGAGAGTTGTATGCTTGATTGTACTGTGATTACTGGGTGTTTGTAGAATATACTTTGTACGCTTACAAAGCCTTTTTACTTCAGCCTTGGATTCAAGGTAGCCTACCTGGACGCTGGTAAAAGTCTCGTTCGCGTTTATCGACTAAGGTAAACTCGTAATATCTTCAAGCAGATTAAGTGATGAACCCTACGGTACTAGATATTTGTGATAATGTCTATTATTGAACTAGAAATGAATGTTATCTTTTCAGTGACTGTGACTGTGACTGTTTGATAAGGGCCTCCCCTCATTGATAAACAAACATATTAACGCTTATTGAATCCTTAGGAATGTTTTATACAAAGAAACAACCTGCTTAATAGTATTCTACAAAGTTATTGTCATTTAAAAGGCAAGCAAAGTATAATTATTGTTTTCATTAAGTTACCAAAAAATTATTTACAAATGATATTATTACATAAAATCAAATTAAAAAATTAAAGTTCTCATTTTGTCGAAATCAAAATTACACATTTTTGAAACCATGAGTTGATCAATGTTAGACCACCAGTAGAAACCTGGAAGCACTGAAACACGGCCGATTCATCCTGGTATGGGACTCACCAGCGGCAGTGCACATCCACGACTCCTGCACCCCGCAGGATTCGAACCCAGGACCTTCGGTATTGTGCGCGAACGCCCTAGCCGTTAGACCACTGAGCCGGTATCTCACAGTGTTAATGTCTAACTTGATCAAATTCACGAAGTCCCATACCAGGACGAAACGGCTGTCTTTAAGTACTTCCAGGTTTCTAATGGTGGTCTAACATTGATCAATTCATGGTTACAAATAACAAATTGTATCAATCGTTTTTTGCATAAGTGACATCTTCGTTTGTTTATTTGAAATTCAGCAGACAAGTTATAGTGTTTAAGCTAAATGATGATTACTTTGCTATTTTTTTTTTAACTCCAGCGATATTATACTACAATCTATTGGTTATCTGTTTCTCTGTATATCTTTTTTAAAAATGACTGAATATACTGAATACAATACAATAATGCAGCCTTATTCTCTCTCAATTTATATCGTCTATCATCTATGTTATGCTGAATTTTAATCATGTGATCAAGTATTTATCAGTTCATCTGTCAAAAAGATATTTTAGAAATCGGGAAAAAAATAATGGTCATTCGAAAAAAAAGATGGATTCACTTTGTTCGTTTGCTTATTTACCTACTTACTTACTTATCAAGTGTATTGATGAGAATGTGTTGAATATAGCAATCTATTGATATGGGGGGAATGATGCTAAATTTCTTGATTGTGTTTAACAGTTTTAAAAAAATAAATACACCTTCTTGAGTTAGTAGTCTGGTTACTGCTTTGTATATCATCTAGTTAAGGGTATACTATTGCCTATTATTAATTTATTTATTTAAATACGTAAACATTGATACAAAAGTGCACGTAAATATGTAAATGTGTCACACAAAGAATTGAATTTGTGTGTACGCTGAGAGACTATTTAGGTGCCCAGACCAAAAGAAGATAACTCCTCAAGCCTTTGATTCTTTGGTTTTATTCGTGAGGCAGTGAGTGATGCGGTCCCATGGTAGCCAATTAAGAATAGATTTGTACTTCATTAGTTTGTAGTGCCTCCACATAAACTTGAGTTCGCTCATATTTAATTTGATTACGCCTTTCGATTAACTTATGTAACCAAGCTATTTGTATAGCAACAACTCATATGTACCATTGGTATTTTTTATTATCTGGTTTTTATGAGCTGGTACGACTGAGCATTGCTTACGCCTACCGGCTTTCTCATCCTTTTCGCTTTAATGTTAATCTCTTAATATCCCCATGAACTGACATGATTTGTATCGCTTGCTTTTGACCTTGTCAATCATTCCTCGCTTTTATTCATGTGTGTGCATACCTATTTCGCTTGTCATATGTCTGTCTTATTTTAGTTTGACTATAATTCTTATTCATGCTCTATCTCTTTGAGTTGGCTCACTAGCCTTCTCCAATTCGCTTTGTGGTGTGTCACGAATAAACGTATTCATCAATACGAGTTCATGTTCTGATTTATAAACCGAGCTTAAGAACACGCAATAAACCGACACACTACAAGTTCCTTTACGACACTGAAGACCATCTGCACCATTGGTTTAAAATCATGGTTTCTCAACTCCCTTAAGGTGATACTCCCTATTCACCAGCCCGATTGAATTAGTGCTCTCAATCCCGTAAACAAAATCTGTTCCATTTAGAAGGCAGTGAGTAAGAATTCCTTGGCTATATGAGAGGATTTCGATGGAAAACAGCGAACTCTACCCTTTTTTTGGCCCTACTAGAGCATTTAGGGGCTACTGAATCGGATTTTATAAAGCTACAACAAGAACAATATATACACGTACTACTGATATATATATATATATATATATATATATATATATATATATATATATGACGAAAGTTTCAATTCGACTCGATTTACTATCAACATTTTCATTTAATTCATAATAATCTCACTTAAGGTGAGTAATAATTATACTAGAATAATTCTTAGGCGGAAGTTTTTTTTGTTAATTGAACGAGTAAAATACAACTACTGCACATAATAACAGCAAGTGAACATTATTCTAGATAAGTTGTTACATGATAATGTTTGAATGACATTCAAAGTGCAAATAATGATTTTTTATTCAAGTATTCAAGTATTATTGCTTTGTTGATGTTATTTTTTTAAAAAAAATGAAAACACACTACAGAATCATTGTTGTATAATAAATACGATCAGTGATATTTATCATCATCAGGCAAAACTGTTCATCACAACATGGCTTACATCTATCTATCTATCTATGAGTTCTAGATAGAAGACAATGAAGTTAACTTAACATATAAAATGCAAATCGGTTTTTTTTATTTGTATACAGAATACCTATCTATATCTTCTACATAAATATCATCAAGACCACTATTAGTTTATGAATATATAATTAATCATTGCCAAAGTTAAATCAAAGTTCGCGGTATTAAACTATCTATCTATCTATCTATCTTTTAATCATTGTATTAACGATTGAATTGATATGGTCTCTGCTTTATCTCAATTTATGAAACTTATAAGAATTTATTGATTGAGTGATATTTACATATTGTTTTCATGCAAAAATTTAACTGCAGCCTGAATAGCTTAATGATATAATCTCTGAAAATGTTAAGTTGAATGGCGTGGTTCATAGTCCCACCGGAAGAAACAGCTCCCACATGATATAAAGGTACACATTTATGACGAATGCCAACTAGTGAAAAACTTTGAGTTTATTGTTTGCAATTGACTGCTTCAAACTACCATATATATCTCAGTTGTTTTTGACTTCTTGATTTAAAAAGCAATCACAAACTTTACTTATAAGTTTATAGAACTTACTATGACATGTAGATTAGGAGAAGAGAAGAACATTTCAATCAATTATTCTATGAAATTGAAGATGAGTTTGTCTGCATACTTTTAAACTAATGAAGAGGGTAATGTAGAAATCTTTTTGTATGGATGAAGTAAACTGGCCGTTGTTCAACTGTTCGAATTTCAAACTTCATAGCCCACCCACCTACTGGAATACTGCGTTTGTAGTGAATGCTGTTATGTCCAACAAACAGAGCTCATCCTATCTGTTGGACAAATTAATCAGCCTACTTGTCTTTTGACCTTGTCAGTCATTCCTTCATATCTGCACGTTGCTTTTATTCGTGTGTGTGTGTGAACGCATGCCTTGCATATTACATGTCTGACTATAAATTCTTAGTCATGCTTAACCAATAGAAGTTGGTTCTCTCGCTTTCTCCGCTCCACTCCACTCCACTTTTCTTCGCTTTGCTTTGCTTGTTTACTTTTCGTTCTCATATCTGCATGAACATTTGTCTGAAATAAAATCATCCAACCGAATTGGTACGGGTTTCACCTATGTAATAGTATACGGAATCTGATGGGCGGAATTTATTTCATAGCATATTTAAATATTCATGGGCCAGCAAAGTAGTCAGCCCTGCATCGAATCGAATACAGCTAGCTACAAAACGTTGATAACCTGAAACATCTTCTATAAATAGTAATATAATATGACTTAAATAATTTTTGTTAGAACTTATCTTAGCATGACCATTAAACACCAATGTGTATTACTCAAACATACATCATACTGTTTGAACTGAAATTTACCTTCAATCATAGATGAAGCACCACCTCCTCGTGCCAATGTTGTCATTGATCCAACATGTGAATCAAGATCTTGTACACCTCGACCGATTGGTTGTAATGTAATCGTTTCAAATTCTTCAAAAGCTTCAGTATTTCCTAAAGATCTCTATAAAAAAAAAAAGTCAACATTTATATGTAACTGTTTATTACAGATAATAATATTTAATCTATATTGTAAATTATTTATGAGCAATAAGCATTTCAATTTAGCATATGAAAGTAAACAAGTTCTCTTTCAAGCAGGACAGAAAGCAACAAACACAGGGATGAAACTAGAAAATCAAATACATTCCAAAAAAAACATGCATGTATTAAATAAAAATTTTCATTAGACCAAATGATATTCACTAGAAATGATGAAATGTTGTCAAGTTTTACAACACTCATCAAACTTATTCTTTCAAACTAACATACCTTTCGAGTAATTTCTTTTCGTGTGATTTCCTAAATATTAATTTCAAAATAATTATATCATAGATGAAATAGAAAAGTTGTATGGAATTGTTATTGAGTGCTTCTATTACTTATTAAATTAGTTTAAAAGTTCTAATGATGAATAGTTAGTTATTAGGTCTTATGAAAAAAATATCATATCTTCAAGTTATTACTATAAGCTGTAGTGAGCTATAATAGCCTATAATAGGAATGTCAAGTTATCAGTATGGAGTTGTGAAGATTGTTGAGTTTCACTGGAACCATAAATCGATCAATATCAGACCAGCACTGAACAGCTGTATCGTTCCACTGTGGTGTGCATCTGCAGTATGCACCCACGACTTCACAAGTGGAAACCTAAGTCAAAAAACCTTCGGGCTCGCGAAAACGCCTAATCTCTTAACCAATGAATGTACAGCTTATCACAAAACATCTATTCGCAAAGCAAGCGTATTCTTGACTATCTTCCACATGTTTTCTGTTTCTCACGACATTCCGGTCGCGCAATGCATCATGATACAATACTCTTCTTTTCTTTTCTAAAGCAATAACAATAGCCTCACATCTGAACTGTATGGCTCAGACAACACTGGATTAACTAAAACATCCTACAAAAAGGTAAATATTTTTCAGCGTTGTAATGTAAATCATTATTTGATAGTTTCATTTATATGTTGAAAGTCTTCAAGAATCGCTCAGAATCGTCATTTGAAGCCGGAAAAAAGGCTAATCACAGTCTGTCTAGTCATCTATTGGTAGAAAATTCTGAAAAAAAACGATTCATTGTGTTTTCCATCCTAGTTGAATAATTCCCAATTTTATTGCTAATTTTAGCATCAGCTAAAAAAAATTTTCAGGAACCCACAAAAATCCTGATTCTCTGTATTGAAACTAAATTAGGAAGTAAAGCTTATATTATAACCTTCAACCTGATGTTTATGTTTTATATCCAAGTGTGAGATATTGATAGGAACATGGATTCACAAGTGATTAGTAAGTAATTAGCTGACGTTCATATGTTACAGATATTAGTAATGGCTTTCAATTATTTCCCATCTTCTAAGTACCGTTTAGTTTTGAATCATTTGTTGAGATTGTTGGAAAATTAGTTTAGGGGAATATATAAATTGTAAGTGCATTAGATCACGCGTATTAAGCTTATTCAAATCTCTGCACTTCAGTTCGTCACATTTTTAATAAAACAGACTTGTTGTCACTATGCTTCAGCTCTTTTTCATATTACAGATAAATGAAACTTTTCAATAACCTCACATTGATTTCTTATCATCGTTATTAATCACATGCCATAACTCATAAATTGGAAAAAACCATTGTACCTATGAGTAATTCAGTATCATACTAGCCTTAAATAGCAACTGACAATTGCATAATCATATCGTATTTTTTGAACCATGTTTTCCCGCTTTGTAATATATATATATATATATATATATATATATATATATATATATATATATACATATATATATACATTTGAATTTATATTGAACTAGGCACTTTAATGTTGAAAATTATTGACTTATTAATGTGTAACGACATACTACAAAACCAACGTCAAATCATACTCAATTTTATTAGCGGTGTGGTGAGCGCTACTTATAAGTAGTAGTATATGACGTGAGTGTCAACGTAATGTCTGGCAGCAGAAGATGGGGGAAGATCAAGAAGAAAGGAAGAGTGGGAACACAATGGAATTTGTATGAAACGCATGAATAGTGAAATGTCAGACAATGAATGGATTGATGATGGATTGAAGATTTGCAAATTAACTGTTTACGATATGGTTTTCCTATTTTACTGAGTAACTCTGTAATTTTCGTTAAATACAATTCGGTTGCCCTCAACTGTGTTCTCCTTCACTACAGTGGCTGAATTTCCGATTGGTTGATTGATTGATTAAAGTGAATGAATAATCAGGGTTATGCAATTCGATGTAAATTACTATTAGATAATCAATAATGATCAATAATCACATATTTCACTTCCACTATTATGATTGACTGACTTCACACCATTTACTTACTAAGCAAAAACACTCTCGCCTATGTGTTTTCATTACCACTATATTATTTAATAAAAATGTATTTATTTACATGACAAAATAACTGGTTTCTAATCAGTAATTCAGTGTGCTTTATTATTCATTTCAAAGCAGATATATCCAGGGAAATATATATATATATATATATATATATATATATATATATATATATATATTACAAAATACTAGTGTACCATCTGTCACTATTTATATTCTCTAGAGTTATTCAATCAAAAATTGACTGAAATCGAGGTTGTAATTTTTTTTGTTTTGGTAAAACAAAACAAAAAACCAATGACTCTGAATTTCTCATATTGATTTTTGCATGTTTTGTGAGTAAATTTACAAAATGTCATTCATTAAGAATATTTTCATGATCATGTTTTAACGTAAACTACACGTCATACACATGTATAGACAGATATTCGTTTTCAGAAGAATGTGAACATCAACAACAGAAATAGAAGAAGCATCAGAATTACAGAAATAATTTAATTTATGCATAAAAATGTGTAACTGATATGTATAGGTAGCATCATGAATTATCTCAAAAAAACTTGCGTGTATAGAAATGGTATGAGATTTAATTATATAGCGATAAGCCAATCAGAATCGAGAATGTGACTTACAAAGCTCTGATGCGAAATTCAAATGTCATTCATTAAAAAGCAGTATTTGTAATACAGGTGTATACTGCATAAAAAATGTTTAAAATACCATAGAAATATTATTGTTTTGTACCATTGTGAAGTAAATTGAATTGAATTGAGCCGATGGATTAAATGTTGAATTCTGTTTTTGTAGATTGTATACAGTAGATTCGAAACTGTAACTCTTAATCTCAACTTTAAATATCGAAACCTAACTGAGGAAACATGTCACGACTCTAATTTAGAAACTTTCTAGCGGTTTGATAGCATTTTATCCATCGGAATCAGTTTAAGTGTTGCTTTTTTTCAATTAACAGAATAATAACCTTAGAAAGACTTTCATATTCTGAGTAATTACGTGTAGTTAGTTTAAACCTCACAATATATCACTCATTGTCTTCTTCTCCATTAGTGAAACCTACATTTTAATTTTCTGTTAAAACCAGCTGACGATTCGTTGTACTTATCTTCAGCCTGTCCCAGCATCATAGTTTTACCTCACTACTTAACAGTGGCATTTGTAATGTAGCCTGGAATGTCTAGTTTGGTATGAATTTGGTATGAGTTTCTTTTTGACAAACTTAACGTTCAGCTACTGTTTTCCTCCTTCAACATTTAACAAACATTAAAGATCATTTTACTTTATCTCAACTGTTTCTCTTACCTGCTAAATATCATCTTTACACATATAACGAAACTAAGAATTATTATGTGTAAAACATTATCTATTTTAATTTTTGGGAGGAATCAGTATTGAATTCTAAATGTCAAATTACTTGTAAACCATAAAAATAGATTAAAACGCATTTTGAATGCATGAATCAACCAATGTTAGACGGATTATTTGAAGCCTGAAAGTATTCGACAACCGTTTCATCCTGGTGTAGGACTCATCAACAGTGCGCACTCCTGCTACTCGCAGGATTCGAACCCAGGTCCTCCGATCTTATACATATATATATTTATTCGACAAAGAAAATCAAGCAATCGACAATCATTTCAATTTATAGATGTCATGATTTTTTATTGAATTCAGATAGTTGTTTACACTACAAATGCTTTGTTTTAGAAATTATTTATGATATCCTATATTATCGAATTATATTATCGAACATGTACATAAGTGGCTTGAAAATCAGTTAACGTCAGATGAGCTGATTAGCGTTGGAAATAGAAAACCATGTTTATTGATCGCAAAACACATAATTGAGACAGGGCATAAGATTGACCACATCTAGACAGCCTTTAAAACCATGAATAGAAATGTTGAAGGACGAATTTTGAGGTTTATGAAGGAGGCCTTGGCTATTCGTAAATTAAAACCTCCCTTATGGGTACAGAAACAATTTGTCATAACCTTGAATTTACCCTGGTAATCTTTAAGGTTAGAGTAATGCGAGAATTTTTCTATCCTTTCTTATTCTTTTCATATTGTGTTAATTTTCTCTCTCCTTTGTTTACAATTATCACCTTATGTCTATTTGAACTTTTATTTAATTACACATTTTTGAAACCATGAATCGATCAATGTTAGACCACCATTAGAAACCTGGAAGCACTGAAAGACGGCCGTTTCGTCCTGGTATGGGACTCCTCAGCAGTACGCATCCACGACTCCTGCACCCCACAGGATTCGAATCCGAAGACCTTCGGTATTGTGCGTGAACGCTTAACCATCGGACCACTGGGCCCATATCTAACGGTGTTAATGTCTAAGTTGATCAATTCACGGAGTTGCGCAACCTCATACACAGTCTTCGGTAGTTACTGTCTACACCTGAACAGGTTGAACTTCACTGGTCACAATCTTACCAATAAGAGTCTGAGACGATTCCTGACGAAGTTAGTCACTATTGAGCGCAGGTAATTTGCATTACGGTTTGTGAAGATTGTTAATTAGAATTTATTGACCTTTTATTAATATTCCCATAAAATGCCTTAACAAGTTTGTATAAGTGACCAGATTGTTCTAACTGTATAACATGTTTCAGATCAACTACGTTGTTTCATTGTTATATCAAATTAATCAGTTTATTGATCGTTAACTTAAAAATTTGTTTTTTTTTAATACTCAATGATAGTAATCCTACTGCATGATTGTCACATACTGATAATTTATAAAGAGTAAAGCACAATTAGTCCGAGTAAATCTCTGTAAACACAATACAATTTGTTGTGACGTTTCATTCTCTGAAGCTGGATGCTTTGGTTGTGGAGCATTCACCGTTCTTCTTCTGAACACAACATCATCAGCGCGAATTTCAGATAGAAGAAGTGAAGTATGCAAATTTCTCTATACGTTTGAACCGCCTATGATATCATAGACAACATAGGCAACATCAAGAAACAGATTAAAAAGGGGAATAAAATCAAAACACGAAGGTGCAAACAACGACAGATTTAAGGTCTTTTGGGGCAGAGTTTTGGAGGTTTGCGTTTTTACACATTTGAAATCATCAATCAATCATTGTTAGACCACCAAAGACAAATGGGTGAGGTCGCGCAAAAATCCCTAGATCAATCAGAGTTAGACATTAACACCATTGGATGCCGGCCCAGTGGTCCGATGGTAAGGCTTTCGCCTACAATGCCGAAGGTCCCGGGTTCGAATCCTGCGAGGAGCAGGAGTCGTAGCTAGGCACTGCTGATGAGTCCCATACCAGGACGAAACGGCCGTCTTTCAGTGCTTCCAGGTTTCTAATGGTGATCTCACAATGATTGATTGATGATTTCGAAAGATTTAAGGTCAACAACAATCAATCAATATTGAGGTTAACAGAAGAAGCTACGGGTCATAATACGTAGAGAAATTCGAATACTTAACTTCTGCTATCTGAAGTTTGTACTGATGATGTTGTGTTCAGAAAGAAGAAGAACAACAACAAAAGCTCCACCACATCCAAAACATCCAGTTCAGAGAATGAAACAAGCACCACAACAATTATTCACTTGAGCTAGAAATTTTCTCCACCATCTCATATAATACAACAACAATTTCAACAAGTGGCTTGAGTGTTTCTCTATTTAAATTAGCTTGGTTTATGTTTAATTTTTATAAATTGATTATTTTTTCTGTTTGTTTTAATATGAATTAAGAGTTTGAATAAAAAAAACAAACAAATAAACTCGATAATTCAAATTGATGCATGTTTTTTGTTTTTTTTATAAAACAGTCGCCTATAGTCATCATTCAAAGTGAATTTTCATATATGCAGTACTATTGTAAACCAATAAACGATTTTATAGCTCAGATGGACATTTACACCAATGTATATATATATATATATATATTCAAGGCGTTTCTAAGATTTCTACTCTGAAGTTTCCACTTTTTTTTCAATCAGTCAGTCATATTGACGGTTCACTGAGAGTTGAAATCTGAATATTTCAAATTATTGATTTTAGGTTAGCTTCTGATGTATTGCTCCTGCTTCATTCATTGTCATTGTTAGTGTGTGTGTGTGTTGTATTTTGATCTGTGATGATGATGAATTTCATATTAAATGCTATCCATAAGAATCTCATCTTAATCATTTATACACATTTGAAATCATCAAGCAATCATTGTTAGACCACCATTAGAAACCTGGAAGCACTGAAACACGGCCGTTTCGTCCTGGTATGGGACTCATCAGCAGTGCGCATCTACGGCTCCTGCACCTCGCAGGATCCGAACCCGGGACCTTTGGCATTGTAGGCGAACGCCTAACTATCGGACCACTGGGCCGGCATCCAATGGTGTTAATGTCTAACTCTGATTGATCTACGGATTCAATGAAAGTTTAAATTAACTTAAATGCAAGAACTTTGGAGTTTTTTATTATGACAAATTCCCTATGTGTTTTATTTGTAGCCTAATGTGTAAAGTAGTGGTGCAGTGAAACAAACTCAGATGGGAAAAAGTGCTTCATGGTTTTATCACCTATAATGTCTTAATCCAAATCTACAAACATATGATATGATATATTTATTTTCAACTTACATTAACCGCTGAAGTTGAACGGTAATGTTGTTGTTGTTGGTGTTGTTGACCAACATGATGTTGCTGATATTGACGATGATCATGCAGTCCAGTAGATGAGGCAGCCATTTGTCTTAATCGTGTTTGCCTTAATAATTCTTGTTCACGTTCTTGTTTTAAACGTTCTCGTCTAGCTGAATAACCACTACGTGCTAAACGTGATGATGATGACATTTCACGTTTATATGCTAAATCAGACTCTGAAATAAAGTTTAAAAATACATAAATAGATTTTTTTTAAACTGTTTATATTGTACAGCATTATTTATGTTTATAGTTGTTATATCATTGAATAGTAGTAAGATTGATTACATAATTCGAATTACTGTTGTGTTTAAAAGAGGATAAATATCTTAGAATGATGCTACTACTACTATAAAAACAATCCAACTTATACGTGTTTGATTGAGATCGTTATTTGTTTTAAATATCGTTTAGATACTAGACAATTTGTAGGTAGGTATCGGTGAATAATTTTTCAGATTAATAGATGTGATCTTTAATGTTCTGCAGTAATTTGTAAGAAGCTCTTTAATGCCACTTTTAAGACACTTTAGGAAGACATTCTTGTGGAGACCAGTTCTCAACGATTTTCATTTATCTTACTTCAACTAGCGGAATTATGGTACTTTTCATTTCCTAGGGTTAATACATGAGAAATTATTAATCAAGAATAACGAGACGTTATTCATTATTCACTTTCGCCTGGTGATCGACCGGGTTATGAAGATATCAACATCTGGGGAGAAAAGCACGGTATCTAATGGACAGCTAGGATTCAACTGGACGATTTGGATTTCTCAGATGATCTGGCCCTTCTGTCGCACACGCACGACCAGTGCAGCAGTAGCCTCAGGAGCAGCAGGTCTCAAAATACATAATGGGAAAAGCAAGACTCTCAGATACAACACAACATACACCAACCAGGTCACTCCTCATGGATATTCCTTGGAGGATGTCAAATGCTTTACATATATAGGTAGTATAAATAACGAGCAAGGTGGATCCGATTCAGATGTGAGGGCGCGAATCAACAAATCAAGGGCTGCATTTCTACAGTTGAGAAACATCTTGAACTCAAAACAACTGTCAGGAAATACCAGAGTTAGAATTTACGATAAAAATGTCAAGACAGTTCTACTAAATGGAGCGGAAACTTGGAGAACAACGAAAGCCATCATCCAGAGGATTTAAGGATTCACTAACAGTTGTCTACGCAAAATACCGTTAGCTAGATACAATCAGCAACAACCTACTGTGTAAGAGAAAAAAACAGATTCCAGCAGACTAAGGAGTCAGGGAGAAGTGCTTGAAGTGGATAGGACACACATTATGAGAAGCGCTTAACTGCATCACAAAACAAGCCCTCAAATGGAGGCCTTAAGGCAAAAGGAAAAGAGGAAGGCCAAGTAACACATTAGGCCGAGAAATAGAGAAAGAAATGAGAAGAATGAACAAAAATCGGACAGAACTGGAAAGGGAGGCCCAGAACAGAGTAGGTTAGAGAAAAGTGGTCGGTGGGCAATGCTCCATTGTGGGAAGCAGGCTTAAGTAAGTAAGTAAGTAAGTATTCATTCTTCTGTTTTTAAAGAACCTGTTTTTCATGATGAATTATTTCATCAGTGTCTATGACTTCTCTACAAAAAAACCAAACTGCACATTTCTCAAAATAACGATTAGATAGATCGAGATTTTTGTTTACAAATTGAGCACACTGAATGCAATTATTAAAAATATTTAAATAATCGATAAACTCAATTATTGCACATTCTTTGAATCCTTCAAATAGTGTTTGTAATTGTGATTGAGGTTTTCTAGTAGTTAGTTTTACTTATGAGTAGTAGTAGCTACTCTTAATTTAAGCTTATTCAAAAGTTATGAAACGTTAGGAAGTTGCTTCATTCAACTTTGACACGTTTTCAGTGCATATAGCCAAAGATCGAACGATAAAACTTCAAGTCATGCGAGGAATATAACGTGTTTTAGATTGATTAGTTGAAATGCAATAGTTAAGATTTCAAAGCTGATTCGTTTTTACAACATCATAACTGGTTAATTCACATCTTATATGCTCAACATTGATGTTTTATTTTCAAGGTATTTAGTTCAAACAAGTTCATATCGTTAAGACGAACAGACCATCACTACGTGACTATAATAATATTCTTATGATAATTAATAAGTTGCAAACAAACAACTAAAAATTCAAAATTTTCTAATCAATAAAGTTGGTAATACTCAATTTTCTAATTATTCATTAAAAGTTATGTCGACTGTATATAAAATCAAACTAGAAATACAATATAGTTTTAATCAATAAAAACAATATTTTCATGAATATGTATAGAATTCAAAAAAAGAGCACTTACCAGATCCTTGATATGAGCGTAAATTCCATGATCTTGGTCCGTAGACATTAGTATGACTCATTGTACGTTTAGGAGTTGTGAAATTTGCATCATTTGAAATAATTTGTGATTTGTAAACAGCTAGAATATTTCAATTACACACATATCACATACAAATACATAATCACATACACACACACGTACATACATACATACATACACACACATACGTACATACATACAATCAGTGACAGGTAAGCAGTAGTGGTACAGTAGAGTACAGTACAGTACAGTACAGTACAAACATACATACACACACACACAATTTACAAATCAATCAGTAGAGTAATGAAAAAGAAAAAAAAAGAGAAAAAAAATTGAAAAAAAGTTTATTAATTAAGAAAAAAATAATTTAATAAATATGAGTAGATTTTTTTTTTAAAAAAAAGTAAAACTACTATTATTACTGTGACTATTATTATTATTATTATGATTATTATTATGTTTATCATCATGTGAAGTAGTAGCTGATGACAAGGATGGTGACATTTTTATTTTTTTTTTAAAAAAAAAAACATATTTATGATTAGGAAAAAAACATTTGCACAAAAGTTGAAAAATCGAATGAACTTTTTAAATTATGAAGAAAAAAAAACAAAACAAAACATACCAATGAAATCAACAGTCATCAACCACCAACTAACCAACCAACCAAGAATGATGACGATATTGATGAAGTGAAATAAACATGAATTTTTGTGGTTTTAATGACTGCGGTGTCGACTTAAGAGAAAGAAAAATAAAACACAGCCACAACAACAAACAAACGAACTCTTTAATTATTTATTGATTTCCGATGAAAATTTGGATCGTGTATCATGGATGTGTGAGATGAAATTTATACATAAAAAAAGCAACTTAATAAATATGTAGTAAGTATTGATTAAACACTGATGAAAAGCATTTTCCGATATACATATAGAAAATACCTTTTTTTTTCTCACGGTTAACTGTCACATGACAAGTTAATTAATTAAAAATTTAATTTAATTTACTGCAATCAAAAAAACACAACTAAACACTGGTAATAATATACTGTTAGCCTATGATTTCATAACACAAGTATGATAGTTTGGATTTGAATGATGTATGGTGTGTGTTTTGGTGGGGTTTTTTTGGTTTTCAATTATGATCACCTAGTTTGGTTGATTATTGACTTTTGGCAAGATAATTCTACCACACCAGAATAGAAAATCGTTTATGAGTGTGTGTGTGTGTATTAAAAAAAAATGAGAGAAGCTTTGACACCTTGAATTTAAATTCCACACTAATCAATTAACCGACCTGGTAGATTATTCAAATGATTTCTTGATTGATACACTGAACTCATACCAAACACAACAGATAAATCATCATGACACAGTAATGATGGATGTTGTTTGTGATTCATCGGTGACTGTAATAATAAATTATAATTATTATTTTGATAATATGGTGTAGTTGTTATGTCAGTAGTAGTAGTACATGGAATCGAACGATTGCCTCCTCCTTCACGACTATCGGTTAAAGAGTTTAACCGTAGTCGCATTTTATGATTAGTGAATTCTTTGTCCTCAGCATAATTTATTGATTCCATGTTTGGTTTTTGAAATAATTTTTGTAAAAATGTATTTCTTCTCTTTTTATCAGGTTTTTTATTTACACTGTTGTTGTTGTTGTTGTTGTTGTTCAATGGCAGTAATTCATTCTCAGCTGGTAGATCTGTCATCATGGATGTTTCTGTGGTCTGAGTCGATGTTCTGGCCGATTCTTGTTGTTGTATACCTTTTTTGTGCAGTAGTTGAATAGACAAGTTATTTATTTATTTATTTATATAAATGTTTTACTTTGAAGTAGATAGTACTTTATGTAACAATCAAAACAAAAAAAAATGATTAATCTTTTAAAATAGACTGACATCAACTGGAGATAATTATGACTATCTGTTGAAGTTTTGTAAGTGAACACAATTGATTTATATTTGTGCAGTTCACTGACAGATTGGAATTTCAGTAGAATAAAATAAAATATCATGTAGAATAATTCTTAGTAGATCTCCGGTTGATGTCAGTCCATTTTGTCAATTATCTAATTGAAAAAAAAGAAATTATAGTCTATGTGTTTTTTCCCTATTTACTACTACTATTATGACCGCTACTGTTGTAACAATCTGTCAAATATGTAATTTCAGTTAGTCGTAACTAACTTTAGTTAATATCACAAAATATCTATAAAGGGTTTTTAAAATCAGCAAAAAAAAAACGAGTGGAAATGGTGCTAAACATTGGAAGAATTTTGTTCTATAGGATTTATGACATCCTGTGTCACCAGCTTCAAAAACTTGATTCCGTTAATGTAACCTCGAAACATTTCAAACACAGTATATTGGCTTACGATTTGTATACTATGAGAAATGATCAGTTTGCGAGATTGATTTATGAAATCAAAAGGTGGTTGGATTGAACCGATATATCTGTTTAATCTTTCTTGAAATGGATAAAATTCTAAAGATCATGCAACTCAATTGCTTGAAATGGAAACCAGATAAAGATCGTGTGGTATTTTTTTTTTACAAAAAGCAAGAAGTAATCCTGGTCTCTTCATCATAATTGAAAGTGTATTTTCTTCGTCAATTATTTATTGATTTATATAACTTTTCAGTCTTTTTTTCTCCTTGAAAAAAAACACTTTCGCTTTACTTTGTTAATGACCAAAACTGATGTAAATAAATAATCAGCTAATTAAATTTTGGTTTAGTGTAAATCAAAGACGTATTTATTAGGTGTAGTTGATCAGATAGATACCTGAAAATCTTTATGAAATTTTTTTTATATTTTAGTTTATATAGCCTGAAAACTCTAAGTATCATTGTCACCTAACTAAAAATTTTAGAGTTTAAATATATAAAAAAAATATTGAACATTTAAAAAAAGGTAGCCAGGATGTTCAAGGTTATCCCCATTAAATGTTCAATTTTGAAAAAAAAATTAACGTTTGACACCCTGAAGCATCTGTTTATTTCATTTGAAAGTTTGAAAGTATTGACTTATTAATGAATTTGTATTATTCTCACTGTATGGTTATAGAGATTGTTGTAGATTAAGTGTGGAGGTCATGGATGCGCACTACTAACAAGTCCCACATTCTAGAAGAATAAAGCAGCCCGTTTAAGTCCAGGTGGTCCAATGGTGGCCCAAAAATAATCAATTTTTGATTTCAATGAAATTTGTAATATTTTGTAACATTTCATTGCCAATACGACTATTAAAAAATCACTAGAATTTTGTGATTTTCTGCTGAATGAAGAATCCCAACACTTATAGTTTGGAAATGTTTAATATATAAGTTGAATAAAGAAAAGTAGTAAAGATAATTTTAAAAAACAAGCAGAAGACCAAGCAAAATGGGTGGTATAAAGTATAGAATAAGTTAAAAGGTAGAAAAATGTCTATTCAATTTTTCCGCCTTAACATTATAACCTTCAATTGTTGTTCAGCTGGTCATGGTTGCTTCATTTATCGATTATTTACTTCTGTCTCTCCATATAAAAGAAGAATCAAAACCACGTTGATACTGAAGTTGATAATATTAGCTTTGTTGATCTCACACAATTTGATCACTGAGTTGATGATATTGAAACCTTATTGATCCACTTGACTGAAGAACTTCCGACTGGGAAAATGGTACAGTTGTAAACTACTATGCGAAAAATCACTAGGAAATGAACTTCAATCAACTGAACAGAGTGTTTGTAAATTGCATCATTTATTTCCAGAGAATCAGGTTAACTGTGTGTGTGTGTGTGTGTGTAGATCTCTTAAATATATATCTAACATTTATATATATTCGAAAATATCCAACTCACTATTGTTTTGATTGGATAAACCAATTTGTTTACTTTTAGCCATAATACCACTACTATGAATACTATTATTATTATTATTATTATTATTATTATTATTAATATTGGCATTAGTGTAGCCTCTATGTAGAGTTTCTTGTTTTGACCAGTATACCTCTTGATAATCTTGCAGATGATAATTAGTTTGTGTCAAATTAGGCAGGTAATGATTCGTTTTATTCGGTAATACATTGTGATTTATTGATGGTGTCCCAACGCGAATTTCTTTATACACTGGAATTTCATCCTCATGTCTCGTTTCTATTCGTCCCCCGTCTATCACATCTGGTTGATTATCATCTATGGTAATTTCTTCTTCTTGTATTATACCGGTGGATCTGTTGTTTACATAAAATAGTTCCCTTTTATTATTATTATTATTAGTAGTAGTAGTAGTATAATGATTATTGTGATAATTGAAAGTATTTCTAGTTAATTTCTGTGAAGTTGATTCACTGGACGATGAATAACTCTCTATATCGAATTGATTATTGATATCCGTTGTAGTTGGGAAACAATAACGACATTTTGTATTATGACAACTACGTTTTAATTTAAGCGATTGTGAAATAGGCATAACATATGATAATGAGCCATGAACATTAGGATGAAATGTATGTTGATCATGAACTACTTCGCCATAGATTTGTGAATTGTAACGATTGCTGTTTGTTGAATTATGTTGATAAGAATTTGAATAGAGTTTATGATTTTCTATGTAAGGATTAGAATTCATTTCTTGGTAAAGTTTTGTGGTCATTTGCTGTTTTTTTGTTTCTTCTGATAAAATTGTATATTTTTTAAGTATAAAATTTTGTTGTTTGTGCAGATACTACTTAAATGGTTACTGAAATAAACAGATAAATAAAAGAAAATAAAAGGATAAATATAGAACTGTTATAAATAAGAATTAAACATGTAGAAATACGAATGATTGATAAAATTTTTAAATTTTCATGTATTTCATTGCAGAATGAACATTTTTTCGGTTTTAAAGGATTCTTCAATTTGAATGATGTAATTGAAAAGGATTCAGTGTAGTTTTGGACAATACTATCAGTTCCCTCTACTTTCATCTACTTCCCTTTACTAATCTTCATTAGTTTATAAGCAAATATCTAAAAACTTAAATTTGTCTTTACAATAAAACTGATATTTAAGTCTTTATCGGCCACTGATTATCTTGTTAATTTCTCGTCAT